TAATTTAATGTATAATGTATAATGTAATGTAATGTATAATGTAAAGTAATGTGTAATGTAATTCATAATGTAATGTAATGTATAATTTAATGTAATGTATAATGTAGTGTAATGTATAATGTAATGTAATTTAATCAAGTGACACTCCATTCAAAAATGGCAATGCCCGACTTACAATGGTACCCTTATATGCTTTGTCTGATCAAATATGAATTATAAATCAACTTTTATAATTTTGAAAACTTGTTATTTTCAATTGTGGTTTCTCTACACAAGTGACTTGTGAATTTCTATAATTCAGGAAACCATGTAGGAATTATCTTTGACATTAATGATCAGTCCAAGGTTTAAAGAGTACTGTTGTGAATCCTGGATCAGATAAAGGTTTAAAGGGTACTGTTGTGAATCCTGGATCAGATAAAGGTTTAAAGGGTACTGTTGTGAATCCTGGATCAGATAAAGNTATTAAATATAAACTGAAAAAAGTTGAAAATACTATAAAGATGTATATTGTATATAAATGCTAGTTATTTATGTTAAATCTGATATTGATAACAATTTACTGCGTTCTGATTGGATGCTCACAGTGTATTGTAAACTTTATACTTTTATTTATTCATTGTTTAGTATTTTCCAACTGTTTACAAACAGTTTATAATGTTGAAGGGCTATAGGCGTAGCTGAATGAATGAGATATCAATCTTTTCAATTTTGAAAAGTGATTATTTTTAATCGTGGTTTCTCTACAAAAAGTAACTTGTGCATATCTACTGCAGGAATTATAAGATTTAAACACTTCAAAACCAAGAAAATCAATAATATCTTCTATATTATTGATCAGATGAAGGTTTAAAGTTTAAATATGATCAAATGCCAGGAACTCTAATTTATAATCCCTATATCTTTGCAACCTGCTGTTGAGAACTTTGACTATTTAATATTTTAGAATCTATAAAAAAAACCGACTAGATCCAAGTGTTCAGTTCCATTCTTAAAATATTGTTGGTCTTTAAACGTATTCATCTATAAAATTGTATATAAGAGATGAAATTTTTAATATTTTAATTAAAAAGATATTTTCAATATTAGATGAATATAAATGATCAAATCATCATTATTGTATACATAAATTAAAGTAACGTCCTCGAAGCAGGGTTTCCCATCTGAATTCCATTGCCTGGAACTGTGTGGAATTTCGCAGAATTGTGAGGAATTGCGAGCAAAATCCACTTGCGTTGAAAACCCTAGTTAAAAGTACGTGTACTCTACTGGGAGAAATCTACTCGTTTATGAAAACACCAATATAAAAGGATCGTTTTACAAAAAATAGTTTTGCTGAAAAGAATTCTGCAACAGGTTTATTTCTTATTCATAGTTGACATTAATTTTTAGATCTCGGTAGTAACCTTCAAATATATGAAAGTGTCCAACCTTTTATATTGTTGTTAACATTGGTAAACAGAGTAGTTTAATTTATTATTTGCTTGATAATGTGATTTTAAACTGATAAATTTCAACGGCACATTTTTCCTTTTAGTACAGGGTTACCGACACAAGATGAGACTGTTAAAGGGAGTATCTGGCTGAGCATGGTTATTCTTTATCATCATAATATTGAATTTCTTATTCTTTACGAATTTGTTCTTCAAATTTCGTCTTTTCAATGAAAATTCCAGGAAATATACACAAAATGTTGAAGAACAATAAGACATTACAAAAACCAAAAGCTGAATAAGATAATTTCGATTAAGCGATTAATTAGTTAACTGTTGAATTTTTGTTACATTTTTCGCGGTCGTCATTGAATTTTAAAAAATCACCCCTCCAAGTTGGAGTGATTAAGATTGAATATGTGCTCTTGCTAAACAAATATGCAGTAAAAATGTCTCATAGGGCTTAAATTAATCTTATAAAATTTATCTACAATACTGCATTCTCAGCTCAACTACCATGTATAGGCAAACACTCCCTTTATGACGACTTTTGTAAAATTTTCTGAAAGATTTAAAGATTAGTCTACGTACACTTTAACCCAGCATAAAAGTATCGATTCTAAAATCCTTCATATCCTGCACTTCGAACCAAGATATGCATCAAGATAGTTACAATTTTAAATTGTTTTGTTTATATCTAGGGCTAAAATCAGTATACGTGAGTGTGTGAGGTAAAATTTATGGTAATGTTCGCGAAAAATGAAAGGGGGTGTAGGCTTCAGGTGAGAAATAAGAGCGTTTGATCGCTACTAATCTTACTTCTATCTGTTGCGTCTATAAGGAAAAAAATGGTCAAAAACTACTCATGCCGAAGAACGTAGCGTCCATAAAAATTCAGAAAGTTGCAATATTCGACTCGGATCGTAAACAAATCAATTTAATTCCAAACAAATCATTTAGATATTACAACCAATAATCATTGATTTATTTTTCGACACATTCGTATATAGATGATATTTCATAATATTTTTTATATTTTTATGATCTGAGAGTTTCTTTTGAAAACATTTATTCTTCTTTCGAGGATTTTTGATAATGAAGACGACATTTTCATATTTTCCAGGAGGGTTCGAAAATCCAGCGCCAGCGAAGTATTATTAAAAAAAATCAAAAATATTATGAAATATAAACTATATACGAATGCGCCAAAAAATAATCGATGACTATTGGTTTAAATATCTGAAAAGATAGAAGTAAGATTAGTAGTGATCAAAAGTGCTCATTTTTCGTCGTAAGTCTATACCCATTACCCCCTTCCATTTTTTGCGAACACTCTCTTTAAAGGCCAAGGCGTCGCGATATTTTAAAGTTCAGGCTGTCTAAAATTTGATGAATAACTTTTAGAGATTTCCAGATCACAGTGGCAGTATTTTTAGAAATTAACTCGGGGAATGAAGAGTGACGAAATGAACGACATTTTTTAAATTCCTTACAAAAATCTGTTGTTCTCTTTCATAAAGGTTTCAGATTGTTGTAAATAATTGATGACGTATATTTCAAGAGTTAACGAACCTTTTCAAATACTGAAGTCAGTCTAGAAAGTTTCAATTGCTTCTCACGTTTTCATAAAAAAACAACTTGAAAACCCACCTTGAAGATAAAAATATCATACTTTATTAAATATTTTCAACAAACTTACTTTATTCTTTACAACAATAGAGTATAAAAGTTTTCTAAATTTAACTTAGGTTCCATAAGCTTTTGGGTGTCACTAATAATAACCACAAGAATACATTTTAAGATATAAAATGCTGAAGGTTTTCGGGCTCAATTTCTGTTGATCATCTAAATATAAATTTGGCTTGTCTGTCTGTTTGTCTGTTTGTTTGTTCGTATCCAATAAACGCCAAAACGGCTGGACCGACCGGGCCCAAATTTTTTGTGGGACATCATGTGACCACATGAAAGGTTTATGAATGATAAAAATTAAAAAGAATTGTGTTTTAAAGATTTTTAATTTTAAATTTAAATTCTTGAAAATCCGCGAATTTTTTTTTAAAATCCGCAAAATTTTTCTCTTCTTTTTTTTAAAATGTAAACAAAAAGAACATGTTCACAATTCAAATAGAAGATGGGCGCGAAGCGCCCTAAAAGCCTAGTCTTCATAAAATCGGTTAAAAACTTAAAATCCAAACCTTTTAGTTTGAAATTATTTCACCAACGGTTTACTTATTTTTTATTAGTAAAATACCCTCCGATGACTATTTTGGAATTTGAAAAAAATAAGCATTATAATAACAATAATAAGGTTTTTTTTCCGAAACGAGTTATTGATGAAAATGTTACAAATTCTCAATTCATTTATACCTAAAATCATCTTATTTTGTATTTGAATTGTAAACTGAATTCACTTTATAGTACTTTGTGTTAACTATATATGAGGCTGCAACAATATACATTTATGAAACCCAGTTTCGGAAACCAGGTTTAATTTTATAAGCTGAGATAATTTTATAAGCTGAGATAATTTTATAAGCTGAGATAATTTTATAAGCTGAGATAATTTTATAAGCTGAGATAATTTTATTAGCTGAGATAATTTTCATCAACTTTTTTTTACATCGTCCCTAAAGTAACTGAACGCCTGACTTTTTCGAATATTTATATATTTGCACCCTGATGTCATAGATCTTTTATATTTTTATTTATTCTGCCAGATCAAATAGTCAAAGTTTGAAAGATCAAAGCTTTGCATCATCAGATTGCAAAGATATAGGGATTTGAAAATTGAGGCAAGTCTTTAGTTCTTCTTGTCTAACAATCTCTCTACCCAAGACCCATGTTGGAATAGCTGAAGCAAACCAGTTTTTTAAACTGAGCTTTGTCTATACTTTCTTAAATTTCCAGCTCTGAAAGTATATATAAGTACTTCTTGAGAAGGATCAAGGATTAGAATCTTAACTCTAGGATTCAATTCAAACTTTCAGCATTAAATCATTATATGTAGTACACTATATATGTATTTATTTAAACATTTGTCTTGTCTGTCTTTGGCCGAAACGGCTAAACCGATTCAGGTTTAGGTCGAAAATAAAGAATTTTGCATCCCAAAAAAATTAGAATTGAATTTTTTGGAAATCCATCAAAACATTAAATTATTTTTTAATTTACGGGAAAAAAGATTGCTGTAGATCACAAAAGCTATGATTTTTAATATTATTTCAGCTATAGTTAGTTTCGAGTGCACTTTTCTACCGGACACATTCAGCAACAGTTAGTTTCGCGTGCACTTTCTACTTCAATCCATAGATTGCATCATTACCCCTTGAAAATAATATTTGTGTGGAATTTATTTATTACAAATTCTCAAAATATTTGTTAGGATTTGAAGTGACAAAACATTAAATTAAAAACTTTATGAATTCTGAATCCTACAAAGAAAGAATATTCAACCTATTAAAATTAAATGTATTTAAATTGTGTAAACTAGCCAAATTATAAAGGGGCAAGAAATGGTGAAAAAATAAGAATTAAGTTTAATTTAATGATCAAGAGAAGCTGTTTTTCAATCAAAATGTATGGGTATGTATATTTCGTATTTGTAAGTTTAAAAAGATTAAGGTTTTATACTTATTTTGAGCAGATGAAAATTAATAATTTGTATATGAAAATGTATATTTTGCATAAGAGTTTTTTTATTTTTCTGAACGCCCATCATTGCATATTATTACCCAAGTTACATTATTAACTGATTAATAACACATGATTATCCATACCACATTATTTACTGATTAATAACACATGATTATCCATACCACATTATTTACTGATTAATAATAATTAATAATACATGATCGATCAATGATTAATAAAAATGTATTGATTAAATTTTAGAGGGACAATAATGAATTTATTATTTTAGTGCAGCCCTCAGATATCAGAGCTTTAGCCCTCTACGAGAACAGTCATCAAAGTGAAGGTAAAAAACTAGATTCAAAGATATAAATATATAAAACTAGCTGAAGTGTAGGGCGTTGCCCGTTGAATTTTGAAAACACTATTAATAGCTGGTTTAAAATATCTAAGTTTTACAACATTGGGTTGCAAAGAAAAGGGACTTAAAATCAGAGTTTGTGACAAAGACTCAATTCCTTTAAAGGAGGTTTCTGACAGTGTTTACTGTGCAGAGTCACGAGTGTGCAAAGTTGAACGTTTTTAGGTGTAAAAATACTCGCCTCTAGTAGTCCCATGCACATTGCAAATATAAGAAAAATTAATCAAATCAGGAGCTTGCATTTAGAGATAATGTTTAAAATCTAAGTCTGTCAAAAAATAAGGGAATTTGAAAAGTAGAGAGTGTTGATAAGTTGCATATACAATACATAGTGCATTTAAGATTGCAGTTTGCTTGGAGCACATTTCCGTTTCTGTAACTGCAGTTAATTTTGGTGCATTTTAGTTAAGAAACTGCAGTTTTGATACAAACAACTTCATATAAAGAATTATTTCTTTGAAAAGTTTTAATTTTTGTTGGAAAGCAACCGCAGCGACAATTCTCTTAATTTCAGCACAATATGATAAACAAACCATCCACAATTAATGAGATTTTCTGAAGGAGAAAACAGATTAAATTTTCTATGTTAATACTTCCTTCCATATATCCACTTAAACAGGACGAACTTTAACGTGACAAACATTCTCAACCTAACATTACCTTGCCCCTCCCGTATACCCTGTTTGCCCCCCCTGTCTACCCTGTTTGTCCCCCCGTCTACCCTGTTTGCCCCTCCCGTATACCCTGTTTGCCCCCCCCCCTGTCTACCCTGTTTTCCCCCTTAAAAACTTTCTCAGTTATGGGCCTACACAGAATGCTTGAATAATCGTAAATCACTTTTTAAATGAATCGTACTTTTAAAAGAATAATGATATCAAGGAGCGGAAAGTAAAGTACGGGCATAGGGCCAAGCCGGTACTAATCCAGTAGAGCACTGAATTTCTCAGATTGACGTGTAATATGTTTAGACCCACTTCTACCCTACTTCCCGATGATAGTGGAGAACGTGACCGTCTCCCACGGGAGGAAGGCGGTGCTCAAGTGCCAGGTGGAGAACCTCAGGAACTATAAGGTAACCAGGGGGATTATACCCCCTCATTCCCCCCCGTGGGTCCCTATATTCTTTGGAAGGATTAAAAAATTTCTAAATGAGATGTATCATTAGAAACTTTTTTTAACTTTCTTATAATCTTTTAATTGGTGTATAAGTTTGATTCTCAAAATACCCCAATATGCAGAAATTTTGCTTAATCAGAAATATACACAAATCTAGGGCCTTGTAAACTGTGCCGCAAAGAATTGTTTACTTGACCTTAAAATATTAAGTTATAAAACGGATTTTCAACTTCTTTATAATACAATTTTACGACATTGGTAGCTGAATAATTTTACGACATTGGTAGCTGAATAATTTTACGACATTTGTAGCTGAATAGTTTTACGACATTGTTAGCTGAATAATTTTACAACATTGGTAGCTGAATAATTTTACGACATTTGTAGCTGAATAATTTTACAACATTGTTAGCTGAATAATTTTACGACATTGTTCGCTGAATAATTTTACGACATTTGTAGCTGAATAATTTTACAACATTGGTAGCTGAATAATTTTACGACATTGTTAGCTGAATAATTTTACAACATTGTTAGCTGAATAATTTTACAACATTGTTAGCTAAATAATTTTACGACATTGTTAAATGATATTCCAGGGCCCAAAAGGTTATATAGTATAAAAATGTGAAGTACACTTGCAGCATGGAAACAGTACAACAAAATGGCCGTTTTACACTTTTTTCTAGTAAATTCCCCTCTAATATATATTCTATTCTCTATGATAATTGTACAACATTGGTAGCTGAATAATCTTACGACATTGGTAGCTGAATAATTTTACAACATTGTTAGCTGAATAATTTTACAACATTGGTGAATAATTTTACGACATTGGTAGCTGAATAATTTTGGTATTTGATTTGCTGGGTAGAAAAATCCCTTTCCATAAATCCTAAAGACTAGAACCCAAAATAATTGAGCACTAAAAAACAATACATCGACCCTGATACCGTTCCCCCTTCCCACCCCCTTTCTCCTCCCCAATATCAGAGTTCTTTGTTGCTTCTGCTAAATAAGAAAGAATTCCTATATTCTTGTTCAGATTGTTCAGGTTGTATTTCTTATCTATCTCTGATACTAATCCGAAAAGTTAGAACAATAAATAAACCATGTAATTGTTGTTGTAATTCAGTTGACAGGTGAAAGATAAATTGTCCCAGGTTTGACCACTGTGTCTCTGGGGACCTTCCCCAGGGTTTAACCACTGTAGACCGACAATACAGGACAGCTTTTCCTTTAGGCCTTGGATCTGCCTCTATCATTACTTTTTATTTAAAATTGAGATCACTTGTGATTCAGGTCTATGAATCCTGAAGTCTACAGGCAGGTGTCCACTAGTATTTCTGGTCAATTTGGCCTGAAGTCTGGTGTCCGCTAGTATTTCTGGTCTATTTGTCCTGAAGTCTGGTGTCCACTAGTATTTCTGGTCTATTTGTCCTGAAGTCTGGTGTCCACTAGTATTTCTGGTCTATTTTTCCTGAAGTCTGGTGTCCGCTAGTATTTCTGGTCTATAAATCCTGAATTCTAGTGTCCACTAATATTTCTGGTCTATGAATCCTGAAGTCTGGTGTTCACTAATATTTCTGGTCTATAAATCCTGAAGTCTGGTGTTCACTAATATTTGTTGTCTATAAATCCTGAAGTCTGGTGTCCACTAATATTTCTGGTTTATGAATCATGAAGTCTGGTGTCCGCTAATATTTCTGGTCTATGAATCCCGAAGTCTGGTGTCCACTAACATTTTTGGTCTATAAATACTAACGTCTGGTGTCCACTATTATTTCTGGTCTAAAAATAATGAAGTCTGCTGTTCATTATTATTTCTGGTCTAAAAATACTGAAGTCTGGTGTCCACTAATATGTCTGATCTATGAATCCTGAAGTCTGTCGTAAACTATTGTTTCTGGTCTATGAATCCAGAAGTCTGGTGTCTACTAATATTTCTAGTCTATGAATCTTAAAGTCTGGTGTCCACAAATATTTCTGGTCTACGAATCCTGAAGTCTGGTGTCCACTATTATTTCTGGTCTATCAATCCTAAGTCTGGTGTCCACTAATGTTTCTGGTCTACGAATCCTGAATTCTGGTGTCCACTATTATTTCTGGTCTAATAATACTAAAGTCTGGTGTCCACCAATATTTCTGGTCAAAAAATTCTGAAGTCTGATGTCGATTAATATTTCTGGTTTGACTAATGGTGTGTATGGTGCCGACTAATATTTCTGGTTTGACTAATGGTGTGTATGGTGCCGACTGATATTTCTGGTTTGAATAATGGTGTGTATGGTGTCGACTAATATTTCTGGTTTTACTAATGGTGTGTATGGTGCCGACTAATATTTCTGGTTTGAACAATGGTGTGTACGTATGGTGCCGGCTAATATTTCTTTTTTTTACTTGTGATGTGTATGGTGTCCACTTGTCTAAAAATACTAAAGTCTGGTTTCCGTTATTATTTCTGGTCTTAAAATACTTACGTCTGGTGTCCACTTATATTTCTGGTCTAAAAATACTAAATTCTGGTGTCCACTATTATTTCTGGTCTAAAAATACTAAAGTCTGATGTCCACTATTATTTCTGGTCTATAAATCCTGAAGTCTGGTGTCCACTAATATTTCTGGTCTATAAATCCTGAAGTCTGGTTTGACTAATGGTGTGTATGGTCTGAATATAAAGAATATATCTTGTCAAGTTCTGTATAAATACATTTGTTTATTTCTTTTATTAATCATAAATGTATGTTACTAATATGTACAATGCTCACCGTCCCAGTCCCATGATTTATAATAACATTTTTTATAGTTTTTATATATTTATATATTTAATTCAAAGGAAATAATTCAATAAAGTTTTTATTATTTTTAGCATCCTGGTACCCTATTTTCCTTGTATCCTTGTATCCTTGTATCCTTGTATCCTTGTATCCTTGTATCCTTGTATCCTTGTATCCTTGTATCCTTGTATCCTTGTATCCTTGTATCCTTGTGTCCTTGTATCCTTACATCCTTGTATCCTTGTATCCTTACATCCTTGTATTCTTGTATCCATGAATAGATTAATGCTGTAAATCCTCTGATAATTGTTTCTATGTATTGTATATATAATATATCCACGCTTAATCAGAGTAAGTGGCTTCCAAGCTATTGGCATTCTCCTCACGACATACGGGGGGGGGGTGCCCAGGGGGGGTTCGAAAAAGATTAAGATAATAACGAAAAGGTAAGTCTTATCCTTTACTTTATCAATTCTGGAATTGAAATATTGTATTAAGCGCGGCTAAGTGCAGTGAAATGAATTCTGAGGGTGGGGGAGTTAGTATTAACAATATTTAACTTAACCAAGAATTGATTTTGTATTAATTATCCGTATTTGTATTGTATAACGTCTAAACCAACCAGAGCAGAAATATTTTCAAAACAACAATGGTCGTCCAGAGCACGTATTCTACTTTGAAGCCTAATTTACTCTGAGATCGGAATTTTTGTGGTTATATAGTTAATCTTGAACACTTGATCCCTCAATTTGATTTATCACGCGGAGGGTACGGCCAGCACGGGATAAATCTATTCGCATAGATCTTCATATGGTGGAAATAAATGCTGACTCCGAGACTATATTTTTAGGAGAAACCGCAACTTTTCAGGGAGAATTAAAAAGATATCTTATCCATCTTTAGTCAGAGAAAGGTTTGAATCAATATTTTGATGGTTGACTAAAATTACTTTTATACTCTACGTAATTTCAAGCAAAGATGACAATGCCCGATTTACAACTCTATACACCTAGAAACATCAATCTAATCAAAATTGTGAAAGATACGGTCGTTTTTCTGACTGGAACAGTGTTCTGTGAGGCTCTCCATTGCTTCATATCTGCAAGAAATACGCAAGGCACTTTCTCACAGAAACCGCGATTAAAAAACAAAAATAACATTGATATCTTAAAGTTTAAAGTTCAACATTAAAAAATATGATAATCGGTAAATTGAAAAAAATCAAGATAGAATCGTGGCACCATGTGTCCTGATATCCTAGTAGTTATATACACATAGTTTATCCAGGTTACCTGGGTTAGGGTGAATACACAAACCATCCTGACTATCCATAACAACGTGATCAGTAGAAACCCAATAATATCATTGTAGCTATATACACGTAGGTTTTATCCAGGTTGCCTGGGTTAGGGTGGATACACAAACTATCCTGACTATCCATAACAACGTGATCAGTATGAAACCCAAAAATATCATTGTAGCTATATACACGTAGTTTTTTATCCAGGTTGCCTGGGTTAGGGTGGATACACAAACCATCTTGACTATCCATAACAACGTGATCAGTATGAAACCCAAGAATATCCTAGTAGCTATATACAAGTAGTTATTATCCAGGTTGCCTGGGTTAGGGTGGATACACAAACTATCCTGACTATCCATAACAACGTAATCAGTAGAAACCCAAGAATATCCTTGTCCAGACCTGGAGAAAACAAGTGGGATCTACATATTAACAGGTTCAATACAGTTTTTATATCAGTTGCAAGAATTGATTATTAAAAAAACAAATACGACATTCATTGCAAAGTTTTCTTGTTCTTACTGTAATAATCTTTTCATAGCTACAGGTATACAGGCTTAATAGTAAAATAATATGCATAAACTGGTTTAATGATTACATTATACTATATTACATATCTACTGGTTTAAAAGTACTATATTACATATCAAAAGGTTTAGGTTTAAAAATACAGTATTACAAATCAGAAGGTTTAATAGTAGTATAATATTACATACCTACAGGTTTAAAAGTTCAACTTTACAAATCAATAGGTTTAATTTCAATATTGTATATTTGCAGGCTTAGCAGTAGTACACTATTGGATATCTACTGGTTTAATAGTACAATATTAAATATCAATAGGTTTATAGTACAATATTATTTCATATCAATAGGTACAATATTATAAATATACAGGTTTAAAAATACAATATTACAAATCAAAAGGTTTAATAGTTTAATGATACTACGTATCAAGAGGTTTAAAAGTACAGTATCGCATATCACCAGGTTTAAAAGTACATCATTTTATAAACTACATATCTACAGGTTTAATAATAATTTTACGAGGTTGAAAAGTCGTGAAGTTAAACCCTGGTAGTACATTTTATTATGCTGAGATCTGAATGACTGATATCCTTATTTACGATTTGCCTAAACTACAATGCATATTAAAATATAAACAAATAAGAATGTTATAAAAAGAATATAAAGTTGTGTCATGCTATTTTTGTACATTAACTTTGCTTGCTAGTTGCTTATTCCTTGTAATAGTGTTTTATGTTTATTTGGTTTATATATATATTTCAGGGATAGTTGGCGTTTTTTAATTTTAGCAAAAACAGATTTGTAAAGGGAAAGGATTTTTAACTTAAATTTTAACAAAATACAGTGATAACCAATAAACACCGATTGTCGTCTTTGCTTTTCTTTATAGAATAAAATACCTGGACGGATTGTGTGATTATAACTCATAGATAAAACAGTATATAGATTGGTAATGTAAGTGGTGTACACTAGGAATTGTACTCTCCACTGATTCTATCCAATATGTCAAGCAAAACGGTTTAACCTGTATATGCGGGGTATATATATATATATATGTAGACCTCAAATCAAACAATCGTTTTGGAATATCTTACCCNGGGGGATCCTGCAGGCGACAAGCAAATTTCTAAAAATTTTAAAATTCAGCTTCCTGACAATTTTTATTTTATGAAATCCGAATACGTCGATAAAAATTGAACTGAGTAATAATACCGCGAATTTATTGTGAGAAGTTTGAAGTTTTGAATTCAACTAAATTTTGATAAACAAATACCGTACTGCAGTTCATTCCCCCATTCAACGGTTTGTTGTAAACATCTATATGGTGGCTTAAACGTACTCTATAGTTCCTACATCCGATTTCTCAAATATTACTGTACAATTGTACCTAATTAAACGTACTTTGCCACCCCCTGAGCCCAAAACTTAAAACAGGGTATCGTTATGAAAACCAGTTTTGAAACCCGGGTTTCAAGAATGGGGTTAGGCAGTTTTGTGGATATCAATATTTTTGTTATGAAATATTTTTTTTTTATTAAGTTTCTTCACATTTTCCATTCTTGTCAAATCTCTTAAATCAAATCTACAAAATGTTAAGACCCCAAAAAGGAAACTCGGGAGTTTCGTTCAACGATACTCTTTTAAATTTCGGGCTCTGTTAGACAAGCAAAAATATCCAGGACACAGTTTTAGAAGTAACAGTTACCATTTACTAATTTTTAACGGTAAAAAAGGAAGACGACAATCCATGCGCTGAAAATTTGTTATTACTGTATTGTGTGTTTTTATTTTTAACAAATCAAAAATAAAAAGATATAAAATGTTTCAAAATTTGATTTCTTCCCTTTAAGAGTTAAATCTTGTATTACGTACTTAACTGACTAAAAAGGGGCAATATAAGGATTAAATTTAGGTAATTAAACTAATAAAACTTTCTTAAATCTTAATTAAATCTAGTGTACAAGAATCAGACCGTGGGTGGTACATGTGCCAAATAAACACAGATCCAATGGTACATAGATCAGGATATCTGGAAGTCGTAGGTAATAATAATAATATGATAAAGAATAAATCTTACCATAATAATAATAGTTAATAATAATGATAATGAAAAATATTATTATCATATAAATGTAGATAATTAAAATAATAATATAAAGCAGCTTTATTATTTTAAATGATTACGTTGTCAAATTTAAAGTAAATTAAAGTATTTTTACTCCCATAAGAGCTTTAAATCCCCAGTATATAGTTGGAAAAGAATTAAATATTTTAATAAAGATAATTACATTTGAAGTTAATACTTTAAGTTGAAACAATAAATTTAATACCAGATAAAGACGGAGAAATTATAATTCGTGGAATTGGGATTTTTAAGGACGGTTCATCATTATTAAAGGGAGTGACCGGCTATGTAAGGTAGTTTAACTGAGGACGCAGTGTTGTGGAAAACTTCTTTAGGATTCATTTGAGACATATTTAACTTTTTAAAGATCTGTAAATCCTGAGTTTCAGCGCAAATTCGTCGTTCAAAACTCCTACTTTGGGGGTGGATACGTTTTCAGAATTAGTTTTTTTAAATTATTTAATAACGACGACATAAAATGTAAAAAAGTTCTACCATATTTATAGGAACATGATGAGAAAATAAAAATTAATCTTATCATCGAAAATAAGTAATCTTGTTCAATTATTAGTTTCTATTTTCTCATTATTCACAAAGATTTTCTTCAGATTTTTAAAGAATTTGAAAAAATCTGCAAATAAATTCAGAGAAAATATGGAATTCAATATAATAATGAAATCGAAATAATCGATTTTAGCATTGATTTATTGACAAATATCTTTTGAGAAATATGTTCCTAACCATCTAATTATTTTACTGTTTAATTTTTACTTTATTTTTCGTTGTCGTTATTTAATAATAAAAGAAAAACTGATTCTGAAACCGTATTCCCCTGAAACCGTATTCACTCCCAAAGTAGGAGTTTTGGACGTCGAATTTACAGATCTTTAAAAAGTTTTATATGTCTCAAATGAATCCGAAAAAAGTTTTCCACAACATTGCATACTCAGTTCAACTACCTTGCAAAGCCGGTCACTCCCTTTAAGTAAAACCCAGATACTCCATTTTCATAGATTCATCTTGCCTTAAATCTGTCCCCTAACTATACTAATCTAAAAAGAATAAAAGATTAATAACAATGAATTAAAATCAAATAAAATTAATAAAAGTCATTAATAGATGAATAAAAATGAATTAAAAAATAAAAAATTAATAAAAACGATTAAAAATTTTTAAAAAATTAATAAAAATAAATAAAAAATGAATAAAAATGAATAAAAAATAAATAAAAAGTTAATACACAAAAAATTTTAGTTCCGCCGCGGATCACGAGCCAGGGTTCTAGTTCCCTGGTGGTTAGGGAGGGGGAGAACGTGAGCCTGGAGTGCGAGGCAAATGGTTATCCACCTCCGCATATAGTTTGGCGGAGAGAGGATGGAGACGATATCAGTGTAGCTGGCAAAAAGGTAGGCATTTAACCAAACCCATTACATTCATTAATTTAAATATTGTCTAAAATTTTATTTTTGCCACGTAAAGATTTTTCGTTTTTTAAACTGAATTATTTCGGAAATCCCCTTGCAGTTTTTTCGTTCTGAAACAAATATAAAATTATATTATATTGATTATTTCGACACCTTTTATCATGATCATCATCATGATCATAGTCATGATCAAGAACATCGTCATGGTCATCAAGATCATCAATATCATCATGATCATCAACATCATCATGATCATCAACATCATCATGATCATCAACATCATCATGATTATAACATCATCATGATTATAACATCATCATGATTATAACATCATCATGATCATCAACATCATCATAATCATCAACATCATCATGATCATCAAACATCATCATGATTATAACATCATCATGATTATAACATCATCATGATTATAACATCATCATGATCATCAACATCATCATAATCATCAACATCATCATGATCATCAAAATCATCATGATCATCAACATCATCATGATCATCAACATCATCATGATCATCAACATCATCGTGATCATCAAAATCATCATGATCATCAACATCATCATGATCATCAACATCATCATGATCATTAACATCAACATGATCATCAACATCATCATGATCATCAACATTATCATGATCATCAACATCGTTAGATCATCAACATCATCATGATCAACAACATTATCATGATTATCAACATTATTATGATCATCAACATCATCATGATCCTCAACATTATCATGATCATCAACATCATCATGATCCTCAACATTATCATGATCATCAACATCGTCATGATCATCAACATAATCATAAATTTACTTGAAACAGTCAACTAAAGCTAATATCAGAAGAAAATAAAATTTTATTTCTACACAAGGTGAGTATAGTAGAACGAGCAGTGCTACGCCTGGACCGAATCTCTAGATTGAATATGGGAGATTATCTTTGCGTGGCCAGCAACGGTATTCCACCGTCAGCTAGTAACAGATTCTCAGTCAAAGTTCAATGTAAGTTTTTGAACTCTTTCTTTGCAATGAGAAAACTAAACCTCGATTCTCTTTAAAAAAGTAAAACTTTGGTTGTTATGTTGCCATCATATCTACAAACTGTTTTGTTTAAGATATTTTTCTTCTATAACAATTTTATGAGAATTTTACTGGAAAAATATTAGAGTTCTTAAATCTAAAAGTAACAATGAACATCAGTTCATTGCAGCCTTGAATAAATTTTGGCTTACTTTAAGAAAATGGAATTAAAAAAATTTAAATTATTGATCGAAATCTAAATATATTTCCATCTTTCTAATTTTTATAAAACGGGTGAAAAATCAGATTTCTGTTTCTCTATAAAGTTGAACTGCTTTAGAACTTCTCAGATTCTCTACACCAACATTACAATATATTTCATTGCCATGTTAATTTCCTTTCATTGTTTTAAATCCTTGAAGCTGGGTCCGGGGGGAATCTTGTATTCTAGAATCATCAGGGGCACAACTGCACATTTATTATCCTTATTTTTTATCTCAGGGGCACAACTGCACACATTTATTATCTTTATTTTTTATCTCAGGGGCACAACTGCACATTTATTATCCTTATTTTTTATCTCAGGGGCACAACTGCACATTTATTATCCTTATTTTTTATCTCAGGGGCACAACTGCACACATTTATTATCCTTATGATTTATCTCAGGGGCACAACTGCACATTTATTATCCTTATTATTTATCTCAGGGGCTCAAATGCACATTTACTATCTTTATTTTTTTATCTCAGGGGCACAACTACACGCACACTTATTATCCTTATTTTTTTATCTCATGGGCACAACTGCACATTTATTATCCTTATTTTTATCTCAGGGGCACAACTGCACATTTATTATCCTTATTTTTATCTCAGGGGCACAACTGCACATTTATTATCCTTATTTTTTATCTCAGGGGCACAACTGCACAATTATTATCCTTATTTTTTATCTCAGGGGCACAACTTGACATTTATTATCCTTATTTTTTATCTCAGGGGCACAACTGCACATTTATTGTCTTATTTTTTATCTCAGGGGCACAACTTCACATTTATTCTCTTTATTTTTTATATCAGGGGCACAACTGTACATTTATTATCTATATTTTTTATATCAGGGGCACAGCTGCACATTTATTATCCTTATTTTTTATATCAGGGGCACAACTGCACAATTATTATCCTTATTGTTTTATATCAGGGGCACAACTGCACATTTATTATCCTTAATTTTTATCTCAGGGGCACAACTGCACATTTCTTATCCTTATTTTTTATCTCAGGGGCACAACTGCACATTTATTATCTTATTTTTCATCTCAGGGGCACAACTGCACTTTTATTATCCTTATTTTTAACTCAGTGGCACAACTGCACATTTATTATCCTTATTTTTAACTCAGGGGCACATCTGAACATTTATTATCCTTATTTTTTATCTCAGGGGCACAATTACACATTTATTATCCTTATTTTTTATCTCAGGGGCACAACTGCACATTTATTATCCTTATTTTTTATCTCAGGAGCACAACTGCACATTTATTATCCTTATTGTTTTATATCAGTGGCACACCTTCACATTTATTATCCTTATTTTATATCTCAGGGGCACAACTTCATATTTATTATCCTTATTTTTTATCTCTTGGGCACAACTGCACATTTATTATCCATATTTTTAACTCAGGGGCACAACTGCACATTTGTTATCCTTGTTTTTATCTCAGGGGCACAACTGCACATTTATTATCCTTATTTTTATCTCAGGGGTACAACTTCACATTTATTATCCTTATTTTTTATCTCAGGGGCACAACTTCACATCTATTATCCTTATTTTTTAACTCAGGGGCACAACTGCACATTTATTATCACTATTTTTAACTCAGGGGCACAACTACACATTTTTTATCATTATTTTTTCCTCAGGGGCACAACTGCCCATTAATTATCCTCAATTTATTATCCTCATTTATCATAATATTATCCTCATTTTTAAAGATTTTCGATTAACAACCCAAATGTTACAAATAGGTTACTCTTTTAGTTCCTCCGATGTTTTGGATTCCCAGCCAGCTAGAGGGAGTTTATGCTGGACAGGTTAGAACATGTTCACAGTAGGATGCACGGAGTAGATAAGTAGGAAGCAGGAATGGAGGGACTTTTCTAGGGTTCAGAGTTATAATCTAGGGTTCAGAGTAATACGCTAGGGTTCAGAGAAATATTCTAGGGTTCAGAGTTATATTCTAGGGTTCAGAGTTATATTCTAGGGTTCAGAGTTATATTCTAGGGTTCAGAGTAATATTCTAGGGTTTAGAGTTATATTCTATGGTTCAGAGTTATATTTTAGGGTTCAGAGTTATATACCAGAGTTCAAAGTTATATTCTAGGGTTTAAAGTAAAATTCTAGGGTTCAGGGTAATATTTTAGGGGTTAGAGTAATATTTCAGGGTTCAGAGTAATATTCCAGGGTTCAGCGTAATGTTCCAGGGTTTTGAGTAATATGCCATGGTATGGAGTAATATTCCAGGGGTTGGAGTAATATCCCAGGGTTTGGAGTTATATTCTAGGGTTCAGAGTTATATTCTAGGGTTTGGAGTAATGTTCCAGGGTTTGTAGTAATATTCCAGGGTTTGAAGTATTATTCCAGAGTTTGGAGCAATACTCCAGGGTTTGGAGTAATATCACAGGGTTTGGAGAAATATCCCAGGGTTTGGAGTAATATGCCATGGTTTAGAGTAATATCACAGGGGTTGGAGTAATATTCCAGGGTTTGGAGTAATATACCATGGTTTGGAGTAATATTCCAGGGGTTGGAGTAATATCCCAGGGTTTGGAGTAATATTCCAGGGTTTGGAGTAATATGCCATGGTTTGGAGTAATATTCCAGGGTTTGGAGTAATATTCCAGGGTTTGGAGTAATATTCCAGTGTTTGGAGTAATATTCCAGGGTTTGGACTAATATTCCAGGGTTTGGAGTGATATCAAAGGGTTTGGAGTAATATTCCAGAGTTTGGAGTATTATTCCAGTGTTTGGAGTATTATTCCAGAGTTTGGAGTATTATTCCAGAGTTTGGAGTAATACTCCAGGGTTCGTTGTATTCCAGAGATTTAACATATATATTATCTAGGATGTAACTATTGAATGTCACTCCGAAGCTTATCCTAAATCTATCAACTACTGGATAAATAACAAGGGGGCTATGCTAGTCTCAAGTAAGATTTTACCTGTGTAAAATTACGATAATCTTTTTCTAAAAGTTAAAATGTTACTTACTATCTTTATATTATTTCTTAAATTTCAAGTTGAAATTATTTCTTTTCTTCGAAAGTTTAATGGACTTAAATTCCCCTCAAAAATTTTGCTATTTTCATTATAAACTTTGAACGGACAGGACTGCCTCCAACAACGATATGAAAAGGGCTGTATAGATTTTTTGCACCTATATATGTTTAATAATACGAATTAAATTAAAACTATTGATTAGTGTTAACAACGTGAAAAAAATAGTTCATCTTTTCTGTGAAAATTAAATCTACAACGATAACAGCAATATGAGACATAAAACAATCCAAAAAGCTTTAAACCAAAAAATCTTTTCAGCAGGGGTCAATATAATTCCCAAAAAAGCTGAATTTCTGGATCCCAAAATAACCAATTTTTTTTTTGATTATCATTTAAAAAAATTTGCTTCCAATTAAAGAATTTGCCCCCATTTCTTTCAAATTTGTCAATCCCAAATGGGATTGAAAAAGGAATTATATTGACCCCTGCTTTTCAGAAATAAATTAAGAATCAGTAACTTTCATTTTACCAGGAAGAGTCTCTTTAAAGGATGCGTATTGCGTATCTTCTGCATTATTAATTTTATTGAAATAATATTATCAAATATGAAGCATAATAGATTTAACACGTTTGAAAAACAGAAAATAGTTTCTCAGAATTATCCAGTAAATCTGAGTAAAATATTTGGTGTCATGCGGAAGAAAAAATCAATTCATGAATTTTTTTTATTATTCCAGAAAAATATATCAATTCAGTTTTTAAAATGGAAACTTATGATGAAACTAATTTCTGGATATTCAATATTTATATTTATAGCTTTTATCTGAGGATACTGGATACAACTTTTGATACTGGATACAAAACATATTTAGTTAAAATATGGATATTTAGATGATAAATATGAAGCTGTGACTTTGTTATTGGATACTGGATATATGTAGTTTATATCTGGATATTTAGATTATATATATGAAGCTATAACCGTGGATACTGATTACAGGATATATAGTAGTATATATTTGGATATTTAGATGATGAATATGAAGCTATGACTTTGTTACTGAAAACTGGATATATGTAGTTTGTATCTGGATATTTAGATGACAAATATGTAGCTATGGATACTGGATACTATATACATGATTTATGTAGTTTATATTTGGATATTTAGATGATAAATATGAAGCTATAGCTTTGGATACAGGATACTAGATATATGTAGTTTATATCTGGATGTTTAGATGATAAATATGAAGCTATAACTTGGGAAACAGGATACTGGATTTATGAAGCTATAACTGATGATTCAGGATACTGAATATATGTAGTTTATATCTGGATATTTAAATGATAAATATGAAGCTATAACTTTGGATACAGGATACTGAATATATGTAGTTTAAATCTGGATATTTAGATGATAAATATGAAGCTATAACTGTGGATACAGGATACTGAATATATGTAGTTTATATCTGGATATTTAGATGATAAATATGAAGCTATAACTGTGGATACAGGATACAAGATATACATGAAGCTTCATATAAGAAATATCACAAAAGCTGACTTTATTGAGTACAGGTAGAAAACCAGTTTATTGAGTACAGGTAGAGAACCAGTTTATTGAGTACAGGTAGAAAACCAGTTTTATTGGAAACTGATAAAATTATAATAATAATAGAATTTAAATACATACAGTGCCCAAGAAACTGAACACTCGCCACAAATTATATTTTTCTAATTTCTAAATCTTTGCAACCTGATGCTGGTTGATCTTTTAAACTTTGAATTCTATTAGATCAAATAGCACAAGCTGGAAATATCAAAGGTGTAAACCATCAGGTTGCAAAAATGTGGGAATTCGAAAAATTGAGTTTGTTCCGAGTGTTCAGTTTATCAACATGTTTATATTTTTAATTATTCGTTTGATTTTAAACCAAATATAATATTTTTGAATATGATTACTTAACTTTAAAATTTAACAGAATGAGGACCGGATTTAACGAATTGATTGAACTACGCGTACGTTGAGACGGTTCAACCGCGTAGATTTAAATTGTATCGGTAACTCATGATTTAAGCCAGTGAGAACTTGAGTTGAACCGGTAGCAGGTAGTTCAGCTACCTCTATCCAATTCTTTTAATTCCGTCCATGAGTTCAAATTTGAAATATTATATTTTCTTTTCAAAGATTTGATTAATTTATATCAATAATCCAAGGTAAAAAAAACTCCACGAAATGTTAAATACAGAACAAAAATAACTTTAAAACTATTCCAATCTAATTCAGATGCGTTGCAAAAAATTCCCTTGGATCTTCTGATGGAGCAATATCATTGTATGGTGAGTGCAGATTTAATATTGGAATATTGCAAACTGTATTTATGCCGAGAAAGAAACAATTGCATTTCGTTAGTGCGGACATTTTGGATAATGCAGTAATGTGTTTTTATCATTTTAATTTGATAAATAGATTTGGATCTTTGTTCATTGTATGATATTATACTGTAAGGTGTTTACAAGTATAGTATAGAAATCAGGGCGTAAACAGGAATTTATCCACATTTTTTTCTCTTGGGGGGGTTGAGGGGTTGGGGTTGGCATAGAAACTGTTGGGGCCTTAAAACCGCCTGAAAACCATATATTTGACTGATTCAGAGGGAGGGGGAGGGGGTGAGAGCCTCCAAAGCTCTCCATATATACGTACGCCTCTGATAGTAATATCTACAGATGTCAAAGTGTTTTAGTTCTTTTTCAAACATTCAAGGTTTTGTATTTTATTTGAAAAGGCTCGATGTTCATTTGATATAAGATGCAAGTCCAAAACGAATACTGAAAACAATTGCTTAAAGCGTTTTTTAATGAATAGTTTTGGTTAAATGCGGTGGTAGGCGACTATAACAATACAATGAAGACGACTTTCAATTTGAATTTCATTAAAATCAAGCTGTTAAACAGCATGGATACACATAAACAAAGAAGTCAAGAGAAACTGTCAATTAAAAAAGCTTCTATTTATTTACTTGTAAACTTGTAATTCGAAAAAAGCTTGCTAACAGTCAAAACTTAAATAAAACTGTCGTCTTCATTGTATTGATATAATCTCCTACCACAGTAAAAATTATAGTTATAGTAAATTTTTGGCCATAATAAGTTTGCTATAGTTACATATGTTGCACAAACTTGATTCTTACGGCAAAATTAATCATGAAAAGTTTAAAATTAAGGCAAACGTATACAAAGCTTTCATAAATCTACCTAGAGAGAAATATAACAATTATTCACTGCAACTACATAATAAGATGCTTACAATGTTGTGGTTTAAGAAATACCTGCAACAACAACAACAACAACAACAACTGAAGCCCTTGAGCCGGAATATACAACAGAAGAAACAACAACACATAATATCAGGAAATCTGGCCGACGGAGGAGAATTAAAGGTAATGCAAAGTAAGAGCCAGAAAACTGTGGAATTGGAAGACGACATTTAAATAATCTTTAGTGCATTTGATGGGGTTACAAATTAAATAGTTTTATTAATAGCTCAAAAATCCCGTCTTAAGTGAAATTTGTCATTGCATCCTGCACAGTTGCAGTGTTCCATGTTCAATGGACTATTTGAATTTATAACTTTTATCTTCTTTTGCACAGGTTTCTGGTTCACACGGTATGGTCTTTAAATGTCAAACTTATTAAAAAGTAAGATGAAAAAGTGAAAGAGAACATTTTTAATATGTTATCAACGATATCATCTTAACATAAAGAATGGCAGATGTTCATTTTACTAACACTACTTTGCAATCTCGGAACTCTTCTATTTTTGAATTTAATCACAAAAATGAAGAAGAAATAATGGAGTTCTTGTCCACAGCTCTTCAAACTTAAATATTATTATGCTTCCTTAAATACTGTTTTCATTTATGTTAGAAATATTTATTGAATATTGAATAGTTGTTCATCCTGGCTTATACTCCCTTTCATTTTCCAAAACCCACCCTTTAAGTCGATTTACTTCTGTGAGAAATTTATGTGTTCTAGTTTTTGCAAAAATAAAGAATAAGAACTTAATTTGAAGACTCACAAATGATATGTCAAAACTTGACAATTCTTTATTTTGATGAATGCGTACATACGATTGGAAAAGACAGTTACTGATCATAATTCACGTCAAATAAAAGTAAAGGAATTGAGCCTTTGCAACAAAGTCATTTTTCCCCTATATCTTTGCAACATGATAGTTGAAAGTTGATATTTCAAACTAGATTATTTAATCTACAATATTGGGTTGCAATTGCAAAGATATTAGGATTAGAAAATAAGAATTTATGGCAAAGACTCAACCCTTTCCGGTGCATTAAAATACAATAATAGCTCTTCTTTCTACAGAACAGCTATCGAGAAGAATAAAAACGATTAGTCGGGAAAAGAATTTGCTTCTCTCACAACTAAGTACTAAAAATCAGAAGAGCTACGAGGTCACACAGTTGTACCAATAATTTGTCGCCTGTATGTTCAGAATTGATTGCAATGTCTAAAGCTGCATATTTAATTTATTTACAGTAGAATCCATGCAACTGTGAAATAGGAAACAGACTATTTATAGATTTAAAGAGACACATGAAAACAAAGCAATGAAATTGTGCAGTGTACACAGACCTATTTTACCTCCAAAGTAGATTTTGCTTCATAATAAACAATATAAGATTGCTTCGTATATGACACTGAGTTGGCCCAACTGTTCATTAAAACTAATCTGCTTCAGCCCGACACAGAGACCATGTAGAGCCAAGTAATGAGTATGAACGTCATAGTTACCATCTGGAGACCTATGATAGGTAAATGATTAATAAAATATTTAAAAGATAGAAATAATGCGTGAAGCAGTAGATCTTAAAACAAGTATTTACAATTGGACACAGTGTTGAAAATAATAATTTTGGATAGAAAATTGATATCTATTAAAGGGACAGACCGGCTATGTAAGGTAGTTGAACTGAGTATGGATGCACTGTTGTGGACATATTCTTTAGGATTCATTGGAGACATATAAAACTTTTTAAAGATCTGTAAATCCTGAGTTTGAGCGCAAAGTCGACGTTCAAAATCGTACTTTTGGGTGAATACGTTTTCAGAATTAGTTTTTTTTTAAATTATTAAATAACGCCAACAAAAAATGTAAACAAAATTCTACAGTAAACTAATTAGTTGTTTAGGAACGGGTTGAGAAAATAAAAATTAATCTTATCATCAAGAATAAGTAATCTTGTTCAATTATTAGTTTCTATTTTCTCATTATTCTAGTCTCTCATTATTCACAAAGATTTTCTGGAAGTATTATTAAAAAGACAACATTTGAAGAATTTTTAGAAATTTACGAATAATTCAAAGAAAATAAGAAATTCAATAAAATGATGAAAACGAAATAATCGATTATAGCATTGATTTATTGTCAAAGAAATTAAGTCTTTTCCACAAACTCAAATTTTTTCATCACAATATCTTGAAAACCTTGATATTTCAAACTTAGATTTTAACAGAATTCAAAGTCTGAAATATCTAAGGTCTACGACATTGGGTTGCGAAGATATAAGAATTAGACAATCAAATGAATCCTAAATAATTTGTCCACAACACTGCATACTCAGTTTAACTACCTTACAAAGCCGGTCTGTCCATTTAATGTTTTTGTATATGCAGAAATAAAAGCATTTCCAAAATATAATTGATAACTGCCTTTTTTTGTGCTGTCAAGGTCACAAATGTTTAGAGTTTATTTTATTAAATAAAACCAAAATTGTCTAAATCTGAAAAAAATTCATCATATCTCTGGTAATATTGAAAGATTATTTCAAAGATCGAAGTAGTATTTCTACTATAATGTTTTATGTCACAAGTATCTTTTGATTTGTAAACAAAATGTCTAAATAAAGAAAGCTTTTTTTAATAAATGATTTTTCAATGTTTATTTGACTTCCCCTGTATCATCTATTGTGACTACTTTCAACTTTTTATCAAAATAACTAAAAATGAACTAAATTGAAATTAAAAGTTTCAAGTCTTTATGAAAACATATTTTTGCCAGTTTAAAACCTTCAACAAACACGAGGAAGAAAATTGAAGAACAAGAAGTGTATTGCAGAAAATAATGTAAAAAAAGAACGTTGAATGGGAGTGAGAGAATGAGAATGAGAGAACAATTCTTTCTAAATTGATTAAAATACTCTGTCTTATTTGTTTAGAGATCAAGAAGAGCCAGGTAGAGGGGAGGATAAGGTTTACATGGAGAGACAGGAAAATATGTTCATAAACGACGGTAAGAATATTTTATCGGAAGTATAGAGAAATACGGTGATCATCATTAAACTGTGAAATATGAAGACGACATTGAAGCAATCTGTAAGCGTATTTGATGTTGTTATGAAGCAAATAGTTTTACTACTAGCTTAAAAATAACTTAAAATTGAGATGGATCCATACACACACTGGACAACAGCTGTATTTCGATCATGTTCATTTTTATTCTGAAAGTCTTCGTTGTGTTCCATAGTTTTATGAGGACCACTGTAACAAAGAGTTTAGAATTATCATTTATTCTATTTCTGTTAAAGGTGCAATGGATGCTAAGCAGAATTCTGATTCTGGGTCCCCCTTTCTCTTTCGGTCGTCTTCTACTTCTCTCCAATCAATCAATCCAACTGGAAAAACCGCCATTTTTATTGCGTCAACAATAATATCAACATTCTTTATCTGTTAATTGAATACAAATTAAACTTGATCTTATTCTGCTTGCTAGCGCCATCTCAACTCAAGATAGCAAAAATTAAGTTTTCTTGAATTATAAATAAAAAATTGATTTTCTTGTAAAATAATTGAAAGAAGATCTGACATTCAAATACCAGGAATAATTCATAGAACAGATGTCAGAGCGGAAAAAAAGTTAAATTTATAAATTTATCTTTTTTTATTGGGGGGGGGGGGGGTCAAAACTGAGATAGAAAAAGACCCAAATCAATGGGGGTGTATAATTTGTTATACTATCGTAATTAATACAATTTATCTCTTGCCGCACATATCTAAATCTTTTTGAATAAATTTTTACTTCTGTGTGTAAATATACAACATCCTTATCCTCATACAATTATGTAATGTAATGTGTATTATTTGTACAACAACACATGTTAATCATTCACTATATATATGGCTTGCAACTGTTTAGGACAAAATCAACGCTTGATTTTTCTATTTGTCTAACAAGCATTCAGGATGTTTCTGTTATAATTGTTTTCTAAAAGGGTTTGTTAAAGTTTTACTTTGAACCATTTAAAACCTTGAATATTTTTGCAGGAACAAAACTCCAACTTTTTAATTCTTTGCAACCTGATGTCATTGACCTTTGATATTTCAGACTCTGAACCCTGTTAATATAAGGATTAAAAACTTAGAATTTGGGGAGAGAACTTAGTGCTTTTCAAATAAAGGTTTGAAGGGTACCCTTGTGAATTGTTATGAGGGTTTTTAAAATCACTTTCATAGTTACACTCAAGCATGATTCTCCAGATACAGACATTCCTAGTTACACTCTAGCATGATTCTCCAGATACAGACATTCCTAGTTACACTCTAGCATGATTCTCCAGATGAAAACAATTAAAAACAATTATTTTCTCTCTGTTCAGTGCAAAAACAGAACAGCAATGTGATATTTTATACTTTAAATTTTAAGCAGAATTTTGTTCATTTTAAAATTTAAACTTTTTTTAAAGCTTACAAAAATGTTTCAGGGTATACTTTAAAAATTCTTTAATTCAATGAAGGATAAAGTAAAAAAATGCACCATTTAAAATAAGAAAGAAACTAAATGTTTAAAACCAGCTGTTATTGTTGTGATCCAAAACCACTGTACAGCTTGTACGCTAAGCTCATCCCATTTTGCGTCAAAATATATCTTTTACACTCATTTTAACAAATTATGGATATTTACGATAAAATCTATCCTCACAGGTGGTCCCATGACTTGATAAGTAGAGATAAACATGTCCCATTAACTTCATGTATATAATTGTACAAGAATGATTCTTAAAACATAAAATTAAGATCTCAACTTACTAAGTAAACCAAAATTGTCCAATAATTTTTACCTTTTTGAGATGGGCACACAATATTATTGGAAAGATTAAAAGTCGTTCAATCTTTATTTGGGACACCCTGTACTTAAACCCTGAATTCTCATTCGTTTCCCATGTTTTTCCTAAAAAATGAATGAGAAAATTTAGCAAAAGCACTAACTGACGCTCACTGTCGGGAAACTTGCGTACAAGTTTAAAATGTTTATCAATATCCCTTAATTCTTATATCCATGTTGTGATCTTAAACATATTCTTTATCAGAAAATATATCAATCCCACTAATATGCTTTTTTATTAAAATCTTATCTTTTTTCATTATTATATTTGTTATCATTATATTTTCATTGTTTTTGTTATTATTAATAATATTATTACTATTATTATTATTATTACTATTTATCATTATAAATCAGTATTTTTATTATTATAAATGTTATAATTATGTTAAAATACAAGAAAGTACCTTACAATATTTTTGTTCTTAGAATAGAAAGAAAAGAGTCCATACAGGGTAACAATCAGACCAAATAATGCTGGGGGTATCAACAGCTGGTTATAGAAGCCAAGCCAAGCAAAGTAAAGGCCAATCTATGCATAACATCTTATTATTCATCGACTATTTTCTCTCTTATACTTTAAAGTACTTTCCCTTCTTTTTTTTTATTGAAATTTTGTTCAATAGCATTTTTTTGGGGGAAGCCTTTGAATCGTCTTCAACCAACAAATAACAAAATATGTTTTTCAAAATCAGTTTACAGGCAAAAATATAAAAAAATATGTCAAAGTGTTTGCAAAATATGTTATAGTTGGTAAAAAATCTATCAAAATCATTTGTAAATACTGTAAAACAGGAAAAAAACAAAATAAAATTGAATTCTTTCGTTAATTACCTAATCCATCAAAAAGTATTTTAAATCTCGGTCAAGATTTTTATATGATGGTTTTCACAAAGGAGTCTTTAGAGACGAATGCAAGGCATTTAAAGGGACATTCTGTCTAGACATGATAGTTGAGATTAAAGTGCAGCATTGTAGAGAAGTTTTTCAGGATTCATTTGAGACCTATGAGACGTTTATACGGTGTATAATTGTTCAGCAAGAGCGGAAATTCAATCTTTCAAATCCTCCCATGGATTGTTTATTCTGGTGGGATGACTTTAAGAATCGGTTTTTTAAAAATTTTCAAAGACGACGATGAAAAATCTAACAAAAAATTCTACATTAAACTAAATAGTTGTTTATTTATATATTCTACAATACTGCACTTTCAGCTCACCTACCATGTCTAGCCAGTCTTCCCCTTTACGCAAACTTAATTTCCCAGAACTGGTTTCCTGTAACTTTAAACCTGTTTCTTTCTTTGCCAATTATAAGTATAGATTACTTAAAAACCATGGTTAAGGCGAAGGAAAAAATCAAACCTTCAGATAATTTTATTTCTCAAATTTTGGGTCGTTATTAAAATAATTTCAAGCGACCCTCCATGCAAAGATGACAATGCCTGATTTTCAACTATTTTGTTTGATCAATTATTAATTAACAATTTTTTTGATTTTAAAAACAAATTATTTTCAGATGAAAAGTGACTAGCACTCTTCTACTGCAGGAAAAAATATAGGAATTATCATAATTAAACCCTTTCAAACATTTGAAAACGACAATATTCTCCGCATTATTGATCAGAAAAAGGTTTCAAAGCCCAAGGGTGCCGTTGTGTGTATCGGAGGGTCAATAGAAATTACGCTTACAGTCCCTTTAATGTCTAATACTTTGTTCATATTTTTAACCCTTTTTTTTAGTAAAAAAAATTGTGTTATTTGGTGCACAAACCTTGTCTCCGAAATATTTCTTGATCAACCAGAGAGGCTGCCGCTTATAAAAGTTCTTGTAATTCGCCCATTCACAGAACAATAACTAAGATTTGGATTATAAAGGGAGTGGCTGCGTACACATGGTATGTCAGCTGAAATTGCAGTATTGTAGAGAAATGTTTTCTTACGAAATAAAATGTCATTACAATACTGCACTCTCAGTGTATCAGCTCTACTACCATGTATACGCGGTGTGAGATATTGTACATGGAAATAAGAATATTTTGATTAGAAATAAATGTTATACAAAATAGATTTTTAGATATTGACGTAAAAAATGTTTTTAAATAGAATATTGATATAATGAGAGAACTAAATCTTGCAAAAGTTGCAAGAAAAGACCTTGGAATAAACAGGGTGTACACAGGATAAAATTAAAATATGCTGGAATTGGAATGAAATGTACATTTACATGGTGAAAATGAAATAAACAAGATGTGAACTATATATATAGGGTGCAGGGACACAAATATGAAAATCTTAATATGGACGAAATATGCATTTGATCGAGGTCATATTGTTATTTAAATTGCCAAGGCTTCAGGGTGCAATTTCGGGGCGTGATTTGTGCAACTTAAATTCAACTTGTGTATAAATCCGCTCAATTTGCGCAAATATTGTTTCGCGCATCTTGCTCAGTTGTCTCATCACAAAAAATTACGCGCGCAGGTTAACGCAAAAAATGCGCAAATTGCAGCACACGCATATCTTGATTCTTAACTTCTTAAGCATCAGTAAAAATTGAAGGCATTTGAACGGACAAATATATACTGTTACCATGTAAAGATGGTATGAAATAAAGGAAATCTAACCCCTTAGAACTGATGTGAGTAAATCTACAGAGTATAGGAAAAAATGTATTTACAAGTAAAAATGAATAAATAAAAATGATACTAATGAATCATGGAAAATGAAAAGCTGGAGCTCTCTGATGGACTCTCCGCCTTTCATTCGCCTCATACGACGGGTTAATCTTCTGTCTTCGGATTCTTCATGAACACTAACTCTGTTAAGGTTTTAGTCTGGGCCAATTCTATTTCCTTCTGCCTCATGTCAAGCCGTGTCTCATACCTATTGGCTTGAATTCAAACTTAGAAATTATAACTGCCGGTCCAACAGAGGTTTGGGTTCTCCATGCGCCCAAACATACGTTCAAAGCATTCTCTGGGTTGGCATTTTTTAACGGCCAAATCTTCCTACACAATATAGTTGAGATGACTTGTTATCCGTCCTACTTTCTGTCCGACCTATAGCTGTATACAAAAGACCTAATACGTTGTCTTGTTTAAAGGCCGGACTACTTCCAATTTAGAGCTTGCTTTGGGTCCGTATGAGGACTGAAGGGGTTACATCAATAGAACTATCAACACTGAGTTTATCTTCGCGTTTGTATGAGAACTGAAGGGGTTACAATGAAAGTATCCCTTTTCGGAGCTTCTGAACTCATATACTGGTTACATCTTAGCTCGGGTCCGTATGAGGACTAAAGAGTTACAATACGTTTTCCATTAACGTAGCTGTTAATAGAACTCTATATATATAATTCTAGAAATCCACCCTGTAATTTCTATATTGACAAAGTTGGGTTTCTTACGAAATTTCATTATGGTAGATAGAAAGTGTAATAAAGGAAAACACCTGCGTAATACACACAATACAGAATTGATTTTCAATACTTAAATGTAAACATTCTACTTTTTATTTGTTAGTTTTTGAGGTTTTTACGATCATGTTTTTAGCAACTAAATAACCATGATCAGCTAGGAGACAATATTTAAAAAAGTGTTGAAAATTCTTTGAACCAAGAAATAAAGAACTGAGTTCTTGCCACATACATAAATTTTCTAATCTTTAAATCTTCACAGCATGAAGTAGACTTTTGATATTTCAAACTTAGACAATTTGATCCAACAGAATTCATAGTTTGAAATATCAAAGGTCTACAAGATCGAGTTTCATAGATAAAAAAGATTTTAAAACAAGAGTTTGTTACAAGAACTCAGTTCCTTTACCATGTCTTTGAATGTTCTTCACATTTCTACGAAATAACTCATCTTGTGAAATATCTTTCGAAAAAATGTCTCAAAGCATGTGCTCGATATCAGTTAAAGGGAGTGTTCGCAAAAAATGAAAGGGGGTATAGGCTTAATGCGATAAAAAAGCGCTTTTGAGCGCTACTAATCTTACTTCTATCTGTTGCGTCTATGAGGAGAAAATTGTTAAAGACGTCTCATACCGAATAACTTAGCGGCCATACAAATTGAGAAAATTGCGACCTACGACTTAGACCTTAAAAAATCAATTTAATTTCAAGCAAATCATTTAGATATTACAACCTATAGCCATCGATTATCTTTCGCCACATTTTTATATAGTTTATATTTTATAATATTTTATTTTTTTAGAAAACGTTTTCAACGGATTTTGAAAATTGTGGGTGGTGTGCGGCATTCTTAGATAGTTGCGCAAGCAACAAGAGAAACAAACAAATTAATTAAAAAATATTATAATATATAAACTATATAAAAATGTGGCGAAAGATAATCGATGACTATAGGTTGTAATATCTTAATGATTTGTTTGAAATTAAATTGATTTTTTACGGTCTAAGTCGTATGTTGCAATTTTCTGAATTTGTATGACCGCTAAGCTATTCGGTATGGGACGTCTTTAACAATTTTCTCCTTATAGACGCAACAGATAGAAGTAAGATTAGTGGCGATCAAAAGCGCTTTTTTATCGCATTAAGCCTAAACCCCCTTTCATTTTTCGCGAACACTCCCTTTAAATAGTTTGACTTATTTAATTTCCAACCTGTCGATCAGTCAACTGAGCCTGACCGGAATCCATCCTAAGCCAAAATTTGATAAATAGTTTTTGAAAATACACGATCCTTTATAAATTAAAAAAAGGTAAATCTCAGATTTTTGTCGTTATCAAAAATGACCATTTAAAAAAATTAAGAATAGAGAATATTTTTAACAACAAAAAACAAACAATTAATTTTGACCGATGTAATAGGTGTTTTGTAATTTTGATTACTTTTTTATGAATTGATTTTCTTCAGCTCTGAAATTTTGCAGTGGAAAAAAATTTTCCCTCAAAAAATGCATGTTTCACACAAATGAAATTTTATTATTTGTAAAGAACAGAGAAGATAAAACAAAATTCATTCACTGTTAAAAATGATGTAGAATTTACCTTGTTGGTTGGGATTGTTCCGTGTGAGCTGTCACCTGGTGGGAACCTTCGTGCAGGGGATATGCAGCGGCATATATATTCTTACTCAACAGTCGTCTTATTCCTACCTGGAAATTAGAACTTAAAGGGACAGTTTCTGAATTTTAACGTGACATTCAATTTAAAGAGTGAAATGCCCCATTCATTAATTTTATCTGAGCAAAAATTAAGAACTCCGAAGATATCATCGTTTGACTATCTGAACAAGTTGTAAATCATGACAGTGTTCTTCTATTCCTCTTGCTTCTGCTGCAAAAAGCGAAAATCCCTTTAAAGAGTAACCCAATTAAAAATACTACATTAATTAACTTGAGTATTTTGTACCCTGAAAAATTTTATTAAAAAATATTTGTATCTTTGCATGAGAAAATTTTGGAAAAAGTTATTTATAGTAAGTTTATTATAACGAGTCTAACTTATGACAGGGGTATACTTATGGCAAAAGTATTTATGGCAACTATAACTGAGCCCTGCCTTCATTAAACATAAGACCAAAAAAAGACTGACTTTCGTCCCTGAAGTCTCAGCCTTTGTGGGTAACCTGTAGCCTGACACAAACTCAATTGTTTAAGGGATATAATCGAGTAAATATAAAAATCGATCGTTTAGCAATAAATGTACCATAAGCAAATATCAGAAGAAACATAATAGTTTCTTATGAAAATACGCTCACAGCAATGAGTTACTAAAATTGTTTGACAACTTTAAAGATTCGGTCAAATCTGAGGCCAGAACTTTAGTGTTGTTGATTCCTGGATCTTTTTGTATATTTTGTTACGGATTTAATTTAAATAACGGTCAGAACCAGGGGGCCTGGATCTTAGCTACCTCTCCGTGTGCATTGGCCTGAGTGTACATTTGGGATAGTTTACTGATAACAAAGACTTAGCCAATTAAAGATAGCACATCAGAAAATCGAAACAAATTTGACGCATTTTCTGGGGTACCAAAAGATAGTAACTAATATCGTCTTCTCCAGCAAAGTATATATTTACCCTGTTGACGTTTCATAATGTCGTCTTTTGTAATGTATTAAATAGTTATTTAAAAAAAAATTTTCTATCTTGAAATATTTATTTTGTCCATAGTCTATAATAGTGACTAGTGGAAAAACAATGAACATAATTTACAGAATTCCTCACTTTTTAAGTTGAAAAAACCACGATATCTTCCTCATTGCTACCCAGATAAATGTTTAAATGGTACCGTTGTTGATATGAACTTTAATGGCCAACTTGAAATTACATCTATCAGTCCCTTAGAACTTTTACTTTTGGTTTGAAGTATATGAAGTGTTTATAAGAAGAAAATTAATGTCTCATATCTTTTATGCAATTGTAACCTTGTACTTTTTAACAGTAATAAATTATCTCACTACTTTTTCATTCAAGATTGAATTCTCTCTCTACCTGATTTAAATGAATTATTAAAAAATATAATGTCATAATATTTATTTAACAGTGTAATAGTTTTTTCACACTCTGGGATCTTTCAGCGTGAGGAATTCATATGATCCAATTAAAGAGCCTTCATCCAAACTTTTTTTTGGTATTGTAAACGCAGACTCTACTATTCTTCGTTGGCTTGGCAGTTGGGTATCAAACATGTTACTTTGCTAGGCAGTGGCACCGACAAACCTGAATTTATCAGAATTATTCATTGAATTTGTATACATAAAACTCCGGAGTTTGAAGACGAAATTTAGACAATCTGCATGTTCACTGCTCAATTACGGTATTTTATGTTCATTGAACTATTTAATCAAAAATTGAGTCTATAAGTCGTCTTTATATTCCCCAGTTTTATTTTCACCAATGTATTTCTTTAATCCACCTTTTTAAAATCCTCCAATAATTCATGCCTCAAACCTTTTGTAATCAACTTTTGTAAAAGACTTCTAAGTAAAAGGTCGTCCTTTAATTCGCATTTTTAACGAAACTGTCTGTGATATTTTTTTCTTTAATGGTGGATATTTTGAAACAAAATTCCCATAAATTAATTGAAGAATGAGATCAATACATTAATTTATCATTTCTTTGCCTAAGATTAAACAGAAGACGATATTTAAACAATATTTATTTACCGTTTAAAATATTGGAAATTTCTGGTCCCCTCTCTTCTTCATCGCCTAAATTTCGATTCCATAGTACCTCAGAAAAAATATTTGACGACATCTGAAATTTTTCACTAACAAATATTGGCTATTTTTAATACAAAAGAGATGCGTAACTTTATCACAAATACAACTATAATTCACCAGACGATCCTCATAACCAACAAATGATTAAATACATTTTAAAATACAAATAAATACCGTTAATTTTAGTTATCTTTTAGCACAAAACATTCACAATTGAGTTAAATATCTAAGGTTTTAATGTCGATCGTTATTTCTCTCAAACAACCAAAATAACCAATGACGTCAAAATACAGCTGTACAGAGGCTTACACAATAGTCGGATAAATTTCCAACGCCTCGTCTTTATAATTAGCAAAGTCTTTGACTGATAAAGGATGTTACGAGATTATGGCCTAAATTCATACTGTACAAACATCAAATATGCAGTACGCTTTCGGAGTACAAGTGTATGGGGAGGTTTTGTTTCTTGAATTTCACTCAGTTTTCTCAGAACAGTTTATTAACGATGAAATATTACTCTGTAAAAACTGTAATAGTTTGCACACGATAAAGGAGTAGTGGAATTTAATAGTTACATGGAAAAAACAAATTCTCCATTTAAATATTTTCAGAAATCACCTCCGAGAACTATAATATACAGATTGACCTTTGGAATATTTGGTTGGCAAGTTTGTTCCTTTTCGATGAGATTTTTAATGCCAATTTATGCATTTATTCCACCATAGTCCGTGACATTTTCAATTATTTTTAATTATTAAATCCCTTTCCAACATTTTCAATTTTAAGTAAATTTTAGATATTTTTTCCATTTAAATTTTTAAAACTAAATTTTTAAAAGCAGAATCACAAATTCTGTACGGTATAATGTACAGTATAATGTACGGTATAATGTACAAACACAATTCCCAAATAAAAACACAAGACAGTTAAAAATATAAATTTATTTAATACTATTAATAAATTTTTTATCAAAATCCGAGAAATAAAAAGTGAAACTGTCTTTACCGGTATGAAATGTTAAGTATTTGCCTGGGAACAAAAAAGATCATAAAATTGTGAGAAAGGGCATACAAGGCGGGGGGGGGGCACTGGGTTCACGTGCCCCCCTACGGGTGCCCCCCGGGGGGGGCACGCATAGGGAGGCCTCACTTATGAAATGATTTAGTATGGAGGGGTAAAAAAATGAGTAATTTGACATTAAAAGTCAAGTTATTTTCTTTCCTTTTTTAATATTTTAAAAAGTTATGGCGCCTCGCGCAAGCAAACTAAACTAAAAATTTTTGGTGACCAAAAAAGAAAAGTAAAACTGGACATTAAAATGAAACTTTTACTTTATTTATACCCAAAAATTTACAAACCTAACTTCTGTAGGAAAATTAAATTTTTGATGAAATTAGGGAGGGAAAATCTTGTTATCAACAGGCATGTTTTTTTTCCTTTTTATTACTTCCAATGCCCAAAAAAGTCAGCAAAAAAAACCCTACAATTTTTTGGCTGCTCCGCGCAAACATATCGAATTTCTAGGGGGAATAAATATTTTGAAACGGGGATAGATTTTAAAAGGGAACTGAGTTTTTGCCACAAACTAAAAATTATAATCCCTAACTCATCGAAAATCGATGGTGTAAACCTAACAGAATTCACAGATTAAAATAGGGATGTAGGGATTATTATTTTGAGTTTGTGGCAAAATCTCATTTCCTGTTCACCTCTGAGATATAATTAACAAACATATATTCTAAACCAAGTAATGTCTAAGACAAGAATGAAAGACTTTAGGTTCTTTAATATAGATATAAAACTAATCAATACTTTTGTCAAAATAGGGTTTTTTTTGGGGAGCACAAAATCTTCTAGGGGGTGCATAAAAATTTCGGCACGATGCCGCGCGCAAAATATGCCCCCCCCCCCCTACACTAAAGCTCTCGTACACCCCCGATGTGAGTCGAAATGAGGGCTAAAAATTCCCTCAAAATTGAATAAAAATTATTCTTACTCGTTCTGGAACTTCATCGTCGTATGCTGTTCTCAGCAGGATCTGCCAAACTATTTGAGATCGTTGAGCAGACGAGAAGAAACTTTCTCGATCTTTAATGATAAATCTAAAAAAATTAATACTTTTCAATATTATGTATCATTCCTTTCAACATTTTTATTTAAATCTATCTTTTTGACTGCATGAATTTTAAAATAATTTATGACGTTTTCCTGAAATATTCTGATGCATGAAGGCAAAGTAAATATTTAGTTTTATAAATGTCAATTAACAACATAAAAGGGATGTAACAAAAAATGACGTCTTTTATGCTTCAAACCGTCACAATTTATTTAAAGTATTATTTTTTTTACGAGGTAAGAGGATATAGATCTATCCAGGATGGTTCTGAAAAGAGGATATAGAACTATCCAGGATGGTTCTAAAAAGAGGGTATAGATCTATCCAGGATGGTTCTGAAAAGAGGGTATAGATCTATCCAGGATGATTCTGGAAAGAGGGTATAAATCTATCCAGGATGGTTCTGAAAAAAGGGTATAGATCTATCCAGGATGGTTCTGAAAAGAGGGTATAGATCTATCCAGGATGGTTCTGAAAAGAGGGTATAGATCTATCCAGGATGGTTCTGAAAAGAAGGTATAGAACTATCCAGGATGGTTCTGAAAAGAAGGTATAGATCTATCCAGGATGGTTCTGAAAAGAGGGTATAGATCTATCCAGGATGGTTCTGAAAAGAGGATATAAATCTATCAAGGATGGTTCTGGAAAGAGGGTATAGATCTATCCAGGATGGTTCTGAAAAGAAGATATAGATCTATCCAGGATGGTTCTGAAAAGAGGGTATAGATCTATCTAGGATGGTTCTGAAAAGAGGATATAGATCTATCCAGGATGGTTCTGAAAAGAGGGTATAGATCTATCCAGGATGGTTCTGAAAAGAGGATATAAATCTATCAAGGATAGTTCTGAAAAGAGGGTATAGATCTATCCAGGATGGTTCTGAAAAGAGGATATAGATCTATCCAGGATGGTTCTGAAAAGAGGATACAGATCTATCCAGGATGGTTCTGAAAAGTCAACTTAGTCCAAAGCAAACAAAGATGGCAATATCCGATTGTCTGATAAAGTATGAGTTTGATATCAATGTTAATAATTCTGATAACTGATTATTTTCAATAGTGAGCTCTATAAGAAATTGACTTGCGCATTTCTACTTCAGGAAAACAAGGTATTATCAGAACTAAAAATTGTTAAACCTAGAAAAACTACAAGATCTTCCACATTATTGAAAAGTTAAAGGGAGTGACCGGCTATGTAAGGTAGTTGAACTGAGGACGCAGTGTTGTGGAACACTTCGTTAGGATTCATTTGAGACATATTTTACTTTTTAAAAGTCTGTAAATCCTGAGTTTGAGCGCAAATTCTACGTTCAAAACTCCTGATTTGGGGGTGGATACGCTTTCAGAATTAGTTTTTTTTTAAATTATTAATTAACGACGACATAAAATGTAAAAATATTCTACAATAAACTACAGACGTCATGTTTAGGAACATTTTGAGAAAATAAAAATTAATCTTATCATCGAAAATAAGTAATTTTGTTCAATTATTAGTTTCTATTATCTCATTATTCTAGTTTCTCGTTATTCACAAAGATTTTCGCAGATTTTCTATAATTATTATAGAAAAGATAACATTTAAAGAATTTGAAGAAATCTGCGAATAAATTCAAAGAAAATTAGAAATTCAATATAATAATGAAAACGAAATAATCGATTTTAGCATTGATTTATTGACGAATTTATTTTGTGAAATATGTTCCTAGCCATCTAATTAGATTACTGTATAATTTTTACTTTATTTTTCGTTGTCGTTATTTAATAATTTAAAAAAACTAATTCTGAAAGCATATCCACCCCCAAATCAGGAGTTTTGAACGTCGAATTTGCGCTCAAACTCAGGAATTACAGATCTTTAAAAAGTGAAATATGTCTCAAATGAATCCTAAAGAAGTTTTCGACAACACTGCATACTCAGTTCAATTACCTTACATAGCCGGTCACTCCCTTTAAAGGCTTTAACGTAGAGTTGTGAATCGGTATTGCCATCTTTGCATGAAGGCTCACTTGAAATTACGCTTACAATCCATTTCATAATAAAAAAAACTGTCTCATGATGAAGGCATGATAAATGGAAAACTGTCTCATGATCAAGGCATGATAAATGGAAATTTTTCAAAGAATAAAATTAAATTTACTTGTCTTCTTTATCCATTAGAAAGCCAGCACTGAAGAAGGATGGATCCGGGGGGATCAAGGAGGAATCATAATCAAATATACTAGAGATCCTTTCCATCCACTCTACACTCTTACTTTCTATAAAAATATGCATATACATAATTATATAAATATAAATGTAGTAAATGCCCTACTCCAAAAGGGTTTTTCAAACCCGTATCAATCCATGTATAACTCAATATCACTTTACTATCAATGTTTAACCGGGCACGATCTATCCACGGATACGAACTTCTAAACTATCAGTGCCTCAACTGGGACACGATCTTATAAACTCTCAATGCTTCAACTTGGACACAATCTCAAACTATCAATGCCTCAACTTGGACACAATCTTGTAAACTATCAATGCCTCAAATTGGAAACAATCTTATAAACTATAAATGTCTCAACTCTAACAGGATCTCATAAACTATCATTGCCTCAACTCGGACACAATCTTAGGGGTTTCTCATTAGCTAAATGAGGAACAATTACTCTTGCTTGGTAATCGTTCAAGAGCCTGTTTCCTTGTTACAATTCAACGTTAATCGACGTAATTACAAGTTTTACATCGATATATATTCAGCGTAATTAAGCTAATCATGTTACGTAGTTATTTACAGCGCAATAAAGACAAATCACAATATGGGTTTTACATAGCTATTTACAACTTAGATATTTAGTAATGTAATATGTAATTCAGGTTTACAGATATAGTGTTACATGATATTTATTACAAAATGGGGGGGGGAGAAAGAGAGTGCTTGAATAATCGGGCTAACCATCCCTTATTTTCAATCATACTGAATCCTCATTAGCCAACAGTGCTCCTATCCTCATGACTTCCAGTGCAGGTTTCTTCCTGTTTGGAGTCGGCCCCCAGTCCAATGTGATCCTTTTGAGGAGAGCTGCAATGAAGGGTGTTAGACCGTACATCATGACCAATACAACTTGAGGGCAAGATACTCGATTGCGAGGCTAATCAGAATAAACTCCTTAATTTGGCTGAACTCCCTTGAGACAAATCCCAAGGGGTTGAGATCATTTAACAATTCTGTTTCTCTAGTTTGTACATCACCAAGAAGACCCTTCCCAGCATATTACTCAAACCGCTAGCACATTCTTCCATGACACACAGTGAATTCAGGATCTTCTGGTGGGAGGATTTCGTACAGCTTGAAAAACTATTATAATCCTCCCACGATTGAATTCAGCCGGTGTATAAAGGGTGGTGATCTGATCTTCCGCTATCTTTGAGACTTTCTCATGAATAGGGATCAGTTTGGCTATCTGTGGAGCTCTCCTGTTAATGGTGACCCAGACGTGCTTTGTAGTTTTTACGATCATAGAAAATTGATCAGAGCAAGAAATGATTTCAGAATGGGCTGTTGAAACCAGGCTATCAAGGTCTGTATAACTAATGGTTCCATGAATTATCAGTGTTGCGGAACTGATGCAAAAATATATTTCTGCCAATGGAACTTTGGTTGCCACACATAAACACTTGTATATACAGCAACCTGTACGTCTCACAAACAGTCCCGGTTTCTTTTTTATTGGAAGCAAGTAGTCTCGGTCATTCATGATGCTAAGCCACTGCTCACAGCTTGCCAATATCTTGTTTTCTTTGTACTTCCTGAAGCATTTCCTTGTTGTGATGGGACATATAGCTGAGAGCAGGAAGGAGGTCTTGACTTTTCCTGATGTCGACAGATTTCACAGGAGCAAAATTGCTTGGGGTTCAAGAATGATCATAACTCTTTTCAATGTGTTGGAATAAACGGTCATGCTCGGGCAGGAAGGTATTTGGATTCTCTGAGGATTCGTCAAGTTAAATATACAAATAAAGTAGTAAACTCTATTTGTCTGTTTGTTTGTTTATTAGTACATGCCCAATCATTACTCAAGAACCCTTTGACATATCTGAATAAAATTTGATTGGAGAACTCATTAGAGCCACAAGAATGCTCTAACCATTTTTAAGTTACTAGAAATTCAAGGCGCTTCGCGCCCTTCTTTCTAGGCTTTTAGGGCGCTTCGCGCCCATCTTCTAAATTAATTGTGAACATGTTCTCTTTGTGTACATCGTAAAACAAAACAAAAATAATTCGCGGATTTTCACAAAAAATTTCGCGGATTTTCAAAATTTTTAAAAATTTAATGACGATTGAATTTTGATGGAGAAAAATATTTGAAATTTTGATTTTTCATAAACCTTCCCTGGGGTCCCTAGATGTCCCACAAAAAATTTGGGCCCGATCGGTTCAGCCGTTTTGACGTTTATTGACTACAAACAAACAAACAAACAAACAGACAAACAGACAGACCAGCCAAATTTATATATAGAAGTGGGTCGACTTATATTCCAGGCAATGCTGGGTTCTCATGCTAGTTTTATTATATTTGTATATGTATTATAAAAGCATAAACAGATGGTGTTTAATGAAATTACCATTTTTTAAAAGGAAAGAAACTATGAATAGAGTTAAAGAACCTAAAAACGCACTTTAAATATGTTATTGCCATTTTTGCATTTAGAGTCGCTTTAAATTACGCATACAGTCCCTTTATATAGAGACCAAGGGAATGTAGAAACTTTAAATAGAATACAAAGACGACCTCGTCAGATGTTAGAGTACTAAACGTCGCATTGAATTGAATTATACTACCACGAATTGAATCTGAGCCCAGTGTAAACTATAGATAGCAGGAGAATGAAAAATTGTTGCGACGTGACTAGTGCGACTTTGTCACATCGTAGCTTCATACTTTTCTTTAAGCACAAGTATGAAAAAATTACAAATTAGAAGTTTAAAACATTTCTGTTCTTCTCATTAACTAATGAATACTTGAGGAGTTATGATTGAAAACATAAGATTTCAATCTTACTTGCACTTTTGTTTAATTTAACGGGCATTGAGTTCTCACAATTTGTAATTGCAATTGTTAAATTAAATTGAAGAATTAAATAAAAATTAAACCATCATATTATATTTTACCTTTTCTATCTTCATTCTCGGTTTGACCGTCGACCTAAAACATTCAAAAACATTATAAGATCTACCCCTATATCTTATGAACATAAATCTATTTTCAATTTACTCCCTTGTCTCTGCTCTATTTTCCGCATTGTTTTTCTCATTGTTTTAGATTTTTTTTCATATTTTTTTCATATTTTTTTATAATATTTTATTATCATTTTTAAGACAAATGTCATAACTCGGCCCAGTAACTTATGATTTATTTTGCTCCAATAATTTACAAAATTGAATGAGATATCACTGAATAATAAAATACAATTCTCAATTGCAGTAGTTATTGAGTGATAATTAATGGTTTTGTTTACCAAGGCTGCATGGCTGAAAAACTAAATTATTCTGAAAGCAATTTAAATAACACCTTCGGTATACATACTTTTACTACAGAGAGAACCATAAAAGTCTGGAATAGGAAGACGTCATTTAGACTCAAGTTATGACTTTAAGTAGTCCAATGAACATGAGATGAGACGCAGCAATTGTGCAGTGAAAACAAAACAATTTTACTTAATTTAACCGATTTAATCAGTTACTAGTAAAACCATTTGCTTTGTAACAACATCAAATACACTCAATTATTACTTTAACGTCGTATTTCTATTCCACAGTTTTCTGGTTCTCACTGTACTCTAGACAAGCAATTGAATTTGTTAATTTTTAGTTTTGTGATTTTTAATGCGTTCCATGCATATGTTTTTTACTATTATTTGTTCTTTTAAGTCATCGATTTGAGAAATTTTACAGTCGAAACGAATTTGGTTAAAATTAGCTAAAGAGGCTGTGTCAAAATTTCGAATAGGACGAGAAATAAATAAGGTTTACTACCTATTTTTGTAAAACATACTGTGTGACCCACAAAACCTGACAGTTGAGAGACAACTCAAGGGTCGTCTTTAATCTTTGTAAGAACATAAATTCGTAAACAAAATGTACTTTGCCTTTAGTGTGTTTTCAAAATAACAGGCGTTATGCTTATGGAGAATTTGGATATATTTTTCAATAAATTGAAGTCTGACCGAAATACTAAATATTTCCAGGATAATTGAAGTCAGGCCACATTTAAGAAATACCAGGACAATGAGAATTTCTGATGATAAAGTAGGTTGACGAATGACGAATAAATGCCGCATAATATTTCAAAGATCAAAGACGACGTCTCTCAATAGTTATGTTTCTTTTAACAGAAGTTTTTATTTGCAATTTTTTACTTTTTTGTTTATATCTTAAATTATAAAGTATATCACTACAATATTCTATACTTTTGGCGGATTTTAAATTAGAGAAAAAAATATGACTAAGTGGTAGTTAGGTAAGTTAAGCTAACGTGGGATTTTCACAAGCTATAATAAACCAGCCTTTTGATATTTCTGGATATCCTCTTTAAGCTGATTAAAAATTGATCTAAGCAATTTCTAGAACACTTTTAATTGCATTTGTTTCTGACTATTAATGATTCCCTGATTCTAAACATTTAAGTTGTTTTATTAATTTTTTATTTTTTTACCAATTAGATATACTCAAACATAAAGGAATTTCAAAAATCGGCGCGAATTAAAAAGATGCTTAAAAATGCCCGTTTTACGTAGAACCTATATCTTTTTCACAACCCATAAAGCCTATTTAACGCTGTAAGATATTATTAAGAATCGACGATCGGTAAAATTTTTACTGATTTTTCTGTTTTGTAGTTTTTAACTTGATTCTTGAACTATTCTTTGAGTATTTCGTTGAGTTTGCCCAAGGAAATATTTACAGGAACGTCCAACTCAGATATACGCAATTTGTGTACTGTACATTGTGGGAGGAATGTACACAAACCCAGTACCCTCACAGAAGTTGAAGGGAAAGGACTAAAGCTCTGATGTGATATTAAAGTCCAACAAAAAATATATCAAGTTTGAACGAATACTTTTTGGCTTTCTGGTCAATATGGAAAATACAATATCAATATATTTTTATTCCACCCCTTGGGCCCTTTTCCCTCAAAAATGATGCGTTGCCCCTGAATTCTTTGTTTTGATCTCCTCCCACTGCAGACACAGATTTGACGCATCAGATGTGGCGGTTCCTGGTCTATATATTTCTTGAGTTTGCCTACTAGCTATACATGTTTAACGGACAATATCTAGCAGTTTATATTTTTTAATGATGTGTATTACTAGTGTACAGTACAGCTAGGTATAGTGTACATGTGTACATGCAAGAGTGCAGCCTTACCATTGTACCGAAGGAAATGACAGTAAATTTCTAAAATAGTGAGAAGAAAAAACATTAAAATTGAGGTTTTGTCAACTCTGCAAATTTGATAAAGGGACTATACACGTAATTTCTTAAGTGACATTTATAGAGTACAGCATGTTTAATTCACAACGGTATCATTAAAAGTTTTATTATAGGATCAAAAGCTTTGTAGGATCAAAACTGATTCAGATATCAAAGTTTTTACTTAAAAAATAATTATTTTCAACTGTGGGTTCTCTACAACATAGATTTAAATATTTATTTATAGAAACAATAGAGGAAATTGTCAAAATACAACACTCATTTAGAAAGTAAACGACGATATCTTCCACACGGTTGATCAGATAACAGTTAAATGGGTACCGTTGTGAATCAGAAATACCCATTTGTTTAATGAAGGGTCACTTGAAACAAAATCTGCGAAAATAAACGAACGAAATTCGTTCATTTTCGTTCAAAACTTTTGCAAATTTCGATGTACTTTCGACGAAATTTTTGAACTCATGTTCTGCATTTCTATTTTTAATTAAATATTTCTGCAACGACTGCTATATGTCAGGGATGTTGAAATAAGCTAATTTAATAGTCTACTTTAACTTCAATCAAACAATTCTTAAACAAAATGTTTTACCGAAAATTCAAAAATGTTTATAAAAAATGTTAGTAATGAAAGGTTTTGAACGAAAGGTAGAAAATTTACACGAGATTCAAGAATTTTGCGAACAAATAATAACGAAAATTTTCGTTTAGTTCAATTTTTCGTTGCCTGAACGAAATTTTCGCGAAAAAGATTGAACGAAAATTTGGAAACCCTACTTGAAACTACACCAAACCCTACTTGAAACTACACCGACAGTCCCTTTAACACCTTGAATATTTGCTTAATTTCAGGTGTTCAAACAATGCATGTTAAAAAAGTGACGTAGAAAGAGTAAAAATATAAAATATAAAATTTTGCAAACACACTGGAAAAAATATTTTCTGTGGTATCAATTTTTTTCTATAAAAATCTCCTTTAATAATTCCAAACGCCCAGCGATAACATCTTGTTAGTTGTTCCTATAATTGTATTCTTGTTTTTAGCATTTTTTTTAAAGCTAAATTTGATTTGATCACAAGTTTTACCAGAATATTTTACGGTAAATTTTTGTTGTATAATTCTGAAATTCAAATTTGTGGCCGTTATGTACATGAAAAATGTCATAAAAATAGAATTAATTGCCCATTCAAGAATGAATGACCGTAATAATATGTGGTACACTTATAATTTTTCCATTTATGACTATGAGAATTTAAAAGTATATATCTCTTAAATTATAAACTTATGATTTATTTTCAATTTACGACTATGTGAATTTTAAAATCTTGTACACAAACAGAAACAGGCAATAACCTTGTAGCGAATATAGCCTATGTAACGTTTTTTTAGTGTAGCGTTTTTTTAGTGTAGCGCATTTTTAGTGTAGCGTTTCTTTAGTGTAGCGTTTTTATAGTGTAGCGTATTTTTAGTATGACCGTCTATTTCATTATTTCGATGGATAAGGATGGGGTTATTTTGACGACAAACATTGTCTCCCAGTTATAAATTTTCCAAAAGAAACTCAAAAACCTGAGATGCGCATTCTCAGGATTCTGCCAATTAGAATGATTAATAACCCACACAATGTTAGGTACTTTCCCCAGGGGCGTATTCAGGGGGGGGCCATGGGGGCTAAGCCCCCCCCGGACCAGTGAAATCTATTGATTTCAGGGGGTTTTCAGGCCCCAACGGGTGCTGAGCCCCCCTGGAAAGACTAAAAAAATGTAAGCCCCCCCTGGAAAAATTCCTGAATACGCCCCTGACTTTCCCAAAGGCATTTTACTAAGCGGCAGCTTCCCAAGTATGTTCTAGCCACAGTTCTCGGCTGTTATTTCAACCGCAGCTTGTCAATCATCCTTGTTTTTTTCATTTTCTCGTTCTTAACATTTTGCCCCGTGCATGATGATTAAAAGAGAGGAAAAAACGTTAAATGGACTGTAGTTGTGATTTAAATCTCATTTAAAGAGGGGCGCATACCTGATTCACAGCTGTATACCCTAGAACTTATCAGATCAATAATATATAAGATTTTGTTTCTTTTTGCTTCAAAATAGTTTGATTCTGTCATTTACCTCCATTATTAATGGAGACAAAAATGTACTTTAATAGAGAAACCGCAAATGAAAATAATAATTTGTTAAAGAGAAAAAACACGGATTTTTATTGATTCTTAACTAGGCAAATATTTTATGGGCACCAACGTGTGAATCGAACCTGCCACTTTATAATTGGAGAAACACTTCAAATTACGTCTACAGTCCCTTTAATTAATTGATTTAAAAGTTCACCTTTATTGGCATCTTGAGGTTAAGAATCTCAGCATATTTAGCTAGGATAATCCATGGAGCATGAACCTTTACGTAATTGATCTTCACGTTTCCAGATTTCTAAACATTTAGCGCATTATTAGGAAACTAGCGGAAGTGCCCGGCGTTGCCCGTGGAATAAAAATACAAAATTTTGATCTTGAAAAAAATCAATTTTTAGCCTATGTTACCTATAAATTGTTAGTAACAGTTTGTTTGAAATTCTAATTAAATATTTGGAATATCATCACACTAAATCTTCCCGAAAAAAGTTTTACGAACAAGAATATTTACCAAAGTAAACTCTGTTTCCAGCTGAAGACCCTTCTCAACAAGATTGCTCTCATATTTAGCTCGTCTTCCTTGACTCTCCTTATTGTCGTCTTTGTCCTTATATTAGGGTGGTTAATCGGTTTGGTTTGAGGTTCAAAACTTTAAATAAAAATTCAAAATAATATTCTGGTAAAGTTTTGCAATATTTTTATCCTAAGAAAACGATCTTTATATAAATAGTGCAAGTTCATGTTTGGATTGTTTCTGGACCGCTTTTGGGCAGCTTTTTCCATTTATTCAAGGTCAAGGTTCAAATTTGGCATACACGCATCTCTGCCCCTTCAGTAAAAGTAAATTCAATATATATGAAGCATAAAGTCTGACCGCGTCAAACTTGTTGCACCGGCTACTCTTGTCCATAGAGCTAGGTACAGTACAAACTAGGACCGGAAAGGTTGACCCGCTCTGAAATTTAAATGTACTACGGCTGCCCGTGCAAAGTACATGAAATGCAAATGTTTAGAACAAACAATTCTGAAAACAATTTTATTTCATATACAATGCCAAATTTTGACCCTGACAGAAAATAAAGGCCAAAAACAAACCAACTTAATGCACATAACTACCTCGTACGTGAGCACAATATCAATCCGCCGCACTCCATCAGAGAAAAATACAGTTCGCGGAGAATTATTAGAAACCTAAATATTTTGCAAAATTAAGAAATTAAAAAATTTAGACGATTTTGGAATGTATGCTATGGTATGTCCGATTCAAAACGGTGCAATTAAAACCTTACTCTTGTCGAGAATGAATAAGATATTCTTTATTTTTCAACCTGACAAATAATTGTTTTCAATTTCAATATCTCTGTAAACCTGACTTGCGGATTGTTGCTACAGATACAATTTGAAGGAAATTTTTAGATATTAACAATTTTCTCAATAAATTGATGATATTTTCTTTATAGTTTTCAGATCAAAGTTTAAATGGAACCGTTGTGAATTGGAAATGTCACATAAATGGATGGTCACTTTAAATTACGTCTAGTTTGCAAACCCTTTGAAATTAGATAAATCAAAGTTTGGACTGACTTACGAAACTAAATTTGAAGTAAAGAAGGCGAATCTTACAGGATTTGAGTCTTTGCCACAAACGCAAATTTTCTATAATCCATATATCTTTGCAACCTGATGAAGTAAACCATTGATATTTTAAACTTAGATTATTTGATCTAACAGAATATTTATAGTTTGAAATATCTATAGTCTACAACAAAGGGTTGAAAAGATATAGGGATTTGATATTTCTATTTTTGACTAGTTGATCTAGCCAACTTATAGTTAGAAATATCATGCTGCAAAAACAAAGGATTAGAAATTAGATTAGTAAGATTCTAGTTCAGGTTAATTAAACTAATTTACTACAGTTTCGGAGTCATCGAAATAATTTATGAAATGTCGTCTTAACAATTTTAAAGAGCTCCATATAATTATTCAATCTATACAACTAAATAGCATGATAATTGCTTTTTTCAATTTTATATGATTTGAAAATTGTTGATCAGTATTTTAAGAATGATACTTGTACGAATAAGTTTACAAATAAATTCTTAAAAATATCTTAAAAGACGACATTCTCTTTTTCTAAAACAATGTTTTGTGAGGCACACTGTATTTTACCTGCTGAACTGTTGAGGGTCGACTGCTAAAAACATCATTCCTTTTCATTCTATCATACAGTGAAACCCTTAATAACGAATACATCGGAAGAATTTATTAAATGTCGTCTTGACAATCTTTCAATGAGTTTTATACATTACGTAAATTTCAGTATTTGCGAAAATAAATAAATAGCCATGCATATGTGGGAACAGTTTTAAAGAGTTCCATATAATCATTTAATTAAAAACTAAATATCTGCAACATTATCAGAAAGTGAAGAATACGACATTTGATGAAGTCTTTCGATGTATTCGTTATTAAGGGTTTCACTGTATAAAAAAGGTATTGAATTAAAATGGTGAATAACCAAAATTTATGAAAATAAAATCTACATAAAATGGTGAAATAAGATTTTTTTATTTCTTTATTTTCGCATTTCGTTTGCTTGCCTGTTTTTGCTTCACTTAGCAATTATTGACGCCATTTTATATCAACAATATACAAAGAGTTCATCTGACATTTGCGATCAGTGAAAAAATACATTATGTCATATCTTATAAATGAATTCAAAATAGTTTCATTTTTTTATTGATATTTAATATTAACCATTATATATTTTAAAATAAACTTCAAACTTCTTTACAAAAAATCAATTTAAAACCTTCATATATACATATTTCTATTGTCCTACAACAAATACAATTATATAAATATCATTCTTATCATCATAAACTGTACAAAATAAAGTTCAATTTTAAACATTTATATTTTTTGTTCTTTAATAAAACAATTATTTAATTATGCATTCTTATCATCATAAACTGTACAAAATAAAGTTCAATTTTAAACTTTCATTTTTTTTGTTCTTTAATAAATACAATTATTTAATAATGCATTAAGCTTGTGTTATTTTCACTGCCCAATTAAATAAATTAGCACTAACAATATATTTTGCAATATTATGATTATACTTAATTAGAATCCAAGTGTGTCAATGAAAAACAAACAAAAGGCAACTCAATCTATTGTATAATGAATACCCAACAACTTAAAAAAAAGTTGAAACCCTTGGTCCCTCGGACGGCCTATATCATTCTGCGTTTTACAAAAAAGATAGATCGCATTTTGAAATGCTAATTTGTGATGCATCCTTTTTTCATAAACAGTGATACTATACAGGGTGAAAATGAATAAATAGGACAAAGTTATATATGGATATCCTATTGTTCAACGCCTAGATAGAAATTTACAGGGTGTTTATAGCTTTAAATTAAGATTTTCAAGACAAATGAGAAAATTTAGAAAGAAGTCACCAGTTTGAAAAGTTGTTTAAGACTAAAAGAAGACTCAAGTATTATATGCATATTTTGGCATTAAAGCTTGGAGATAATCCACTATGATCTGGGACTGTATAAGATATTCTTAATTTTTATGTTTTTTCAACACCCTGTATTTTTTTCCTAGTTTAAATAGAAATAATACTTGGCATAGCTACCATAGTGGACTGACAATAGATAAAGGTTATCCAGTCGATATTGTAGCTTTCTTTCATTTTTATATATATACAATATACACGCCATAATTCAGCGTGTCTAAGTAATGGAGGCAGCGTATACAAAATAAAATACGAGAGTGGGAAGGCAGCGTATACATCATAAAATACGAGGGTGGGAAGGCAGCGTATACATCTTAAAATACGAGGGTGGGAAGGCACTTGTTTAACGACCGAACTTTAAGTAGTGTCCTTATCTTAATTTTTTTGCTCTTACTAACTGATAAGTGTCAATTGTAAGCAAAATTAACATCAATTGCGGACCAGAGAAGAAACGGGTAATGGTCTGCCTTCCCTTTCTTATTACACACTACGGATACAGTACAGGGTGTTTCCCTTTCTTATTAAACGCTACGGATACAGTACAGGGTGTTTCCCTTTCTTATTAAACACTACGGATACAGTACAGGGTGTTTCCCTTTCTCATTAAACACTACGGATACAGTACAGAGTGATTCCCTTTCTTATTAAACACTACGGATACAGTACAGGGCGATTCCCTTTCTTATTAAACACTACGGATACAGTACAGGGTGTTTCCCTTTCTTATTAAACAATACGGATACAGTACAGGGTGTTTCCCTTTCTTATTAAACACTACGGATTTAGTACAGGGTGTTTCCCTTTCTTATTAAACACTACGGATACAGTACAGGGTGTTTCACTAGAATATACAAACAGGGTCAACATTTGGCTGTGTGAGAAAAAAATATAAAAAAATATAAAAATTGTTAATTCTAAACGTCTTGGAACAATTAGGATATTTTTTAAAACTTCACGGAAGTTTAAAAAATGACTTTTAAATCGCGTTGGCTCGACCACGGCAAAAAGAGTGAAAACGTTATTGTAGTTTTAATGCGCAAAAAAGAAAAAGATATTTAAAAAGTAAAAATTAGAAAAAAAAAAAACAATAATACAATGTCAATATCGCCTTTCTTCATTATAACGCTATAATAGTTGTTTAAAGGAAATTTAATGTTGAGTATTAAACATTTACTTAATAATTAAAAATGGAAATGTTTAACATAAATACAAAATAATGAAATAAAGAAAACACCTGATATATAATACCCTTTACAGAGGGGGGGATTAAACTCCCCCCCCCCCCCCCCGTAGAAATTACATAAAATATTACCGTTTCAATTTCCATGCACGCACATGAGAAAGTTGCGCTCTGTCTTGTATGCGTGTAAACAGGTAACTATGATTTGCACTTTTATAAAACTAAAAATTGTCCGTACATCTCTCACACATCACTTACACTTAGTTATTAAGAAATAGAAAATGTAACCGTTTTGGATAACAAATTAAAATTTTCTCCATTTTTCATAATTTCAAAATGAATACTTTGAGTTTGATGATTATTTATGTGTTTTGTTATTCAATTGTGGCATCAATTAATGAAGAAGCAGAAGGTATCAAAGTTGATACAAATAAAGATGAACTGGAAGATGATGATCCTATAATTGAAGATCTTAGTGATATAGATTTGACAAGTCTTCCAGTAGTATCCCGTGAGATAAGAAAAAGTGGAATGTTTGACTGTGAGTTCCTAGAAGAAGAGTTTGTAATTTACAGTTACCATGCTCTAGCTAGATCAGGGAATAGGGTAGAGGTCCATCTAGCAGCTATCCATCAACTACCAGCACAGCAAACGAAAATACAATATACAAATCCAAACTTTCCAGGAATTAAAGGGTTCTTAGATCTACGTTTCCATCTTAATTGCTTTAAACAAGATGATCCCCAGGTTATTGATGTTATAAAGACAATGCTAATTCCTCCAAGTGACAAAGAATACAATTTTAAAAATTTGAGTGCAAACATTAACGGGGAGGTGGGTCAACCGCTTGATGCTGAACAACTAGTGTTTGGTGAGGACTTCAGAAATGGATTCTTCATTGAAGCTGGAAGCAGTGATGGTGAATTAAACTCTGACACTCTTCACTTTGAGATAAACAAGGGTTGGAGCGGTCTTCTTGTTGAACCAAATCCTTTGATGTTTGAAATGGGAGTGGGTAAGAACAGAAAAGCATCATTACTCCCAACGTGCCTGGCCACCCAAACTCAACCTCACATTGTAGACTTTGATTTTGAGGCTGTTCTGAAGAATGATACTGGAACCTTTAGTATGGGAGGAATAGTAAATGATGGCAGAGATGACACTTTCCAGGTAGGACTTGGCACAGGGGGCGGAAACTTCATGTGTGTGTGTCTGTACCAAAAGAGTGTGTGTAAAGTTTACCGAGCTGAAGGCGTGTACTGTAGGTATATACAGTACATACGAATCTTGGTATTTGTACAGTCTAGGAGAGTACATTTGTTTATTGTTAATTGTTTACCTAAAAATAAGCTTAATATACATGTAGTATATTATTTATATATTTAAGTCAACACTATAAGCCAAATTTTCATGCAAAGAATATAATTTGATTAAAGTTTACAATAAACTAATCGTTATTCAAGCTTAATTATGATTGACAACATTGTTCTGCAATTTCCTTGACTGTAGTTATGTTGTGTGTCTGTACCAAAAGAGTGTGTGTAAGGTTTACCGAACTTGTCTGCAAAGCAGTGCGACTGGCTTTCTCATGCCAGACCAACGCCATTTCCTTTCCCTTTATTCATATTCCCTGGCTTGGCAACATTCCGGTTGCAAACGTCAAAATTCCTAAAGTTTGAAATCATTAACCTACGGAAATAACCATTCTCATGAACCGCCTTGTTTGCTATGAACTAATTGCTGATGACTAGTATTGACTATTTTCAAAATATGTTCCGTTAACATCGTTTATCCGATTTAGATCGTTATAAATAAATTTAACTTTCAAAAAGAACAAAAATACTGGGTAATTTCTGACAATTTGTGGTAAGGCCCTAACTCAAATTTTGGCCCGAATCTAATAATAAATATATGTTTTTTAAATCACGAAACCTCGACCACAAATGAACAAGAGATCTTACCCACCTACATAGATAATATGGGCAGATTGTAATTGGGGAACAAAGACTAATCTTGAAGTAATGATCTTGAGAGTTCTTAAAAATTTTAGCAAACTTTAACAACTAAGTGTTTATTATCTACAGCGCTCGGCCCCCTTGCTGCAACGCTCGGCCTAGATGTAATCCCAACCAGGGGCGTACGAGGGCTTTTGTTTAAGGGGGGGGGGGCACAATTTGCGCGCGTAAGCGCACAAAAAAAAATTTTTGGTCCCCCCCTTGGCAACATTGGTCCCCCCCCTTAAAAACCCCTTTTTTGAAAAAATATTAATACCTTTTTTAAATTTTTTTTGCCCCCCCTCTCCCACCTGGACTTATTTTGTTCACCATAAAAATACACCAAAAAGACTACTTTTTTGGGTGTTACTAACCTTAGAGTCTAAAAATTATTCCTTTGCTTGAAAAACTAACTTTTTGACTTTATAAATTTATCACTTAACTCCATCACAGCTAACTAAATCAATAATCACAGCATCATTAAAAATTATATTTTTACGAATAAACGAAATTTCTTCTGAAATTTTTAGATAGAATTTACTCAATCTACATTTTAACCAAATCTTTTAAGCTACAATTTTCTGGGATTTGCTTGCACAAACATTTCAATGATTTTTTTCAGTAGAGAGCTCAGACAGCCTTATAGTAAAGCTATAAGTGCAAGATCGTTAAGTCTGCTCTCCGTCATAGTACATCTTGTGTAAAGAAGTATTCTCTTTAGAAGGCTAAAACTTTTCTCTCCTTGTATTAACAGTGAATTTAGACAAATCCTTAGTCTTTGTCATTGTCAGGTGTTACTTTTTAAACGTAGTTTCCTTTTAATTTTGTATTTTTGGAACTCCCAGGGGGGGCAAGAGAACTACTGCCCCCCTAGGTACACCACTGTGCCTGACCTGAGGAAGGGAAATGCAAGCAGATGTAATATTAAAAGAGCCTCCCCCATGGATGCCCCCCCTCAGCCTCTTAGGGGAGGCATGCGTAGAGGGGGGCGGGGGGGCGCGGCCCCCCCTCGTACGCCCCTGATCCCAACCTATCCTAACCCATGATAAAGAAAATATGAGCAGATTGTAATTGTATAGCAGTTAAATGTGAAAAAAATTTGTTACTGTCTGTAATAGGTTTCGAAGTTTATTTCTTAAGATATGTATGGATATCATGTAAATTGGGCCTAATAATGGTTGGATTTTATAGTTAGGGCCTTGCCACTTTTCCTATTCCTTACCACTAGCTAGGGCCTTACCACTATTCCGCTGTAAGGATTAAACCAAATACTGTTCACTGAACGGAACGTTCAGTTTTAAACTAAGCATGAACGGATATGTTAAGCTAACAATAAACCAGCCCTAATTTCAGGTTCAATGTATGCCTCTCTACTCAATACTGTTAGCTCTAGGCAATCCAACCGTTAACTACTTCAGCCTAGATCTCGAGGGAGCAGAGTTTGCTGTTCTCAAAACTATACCATGGGACAAGGTTGATATCCAGGTAATACAATTTAATGCTTTGCAGGGCATTGCCACAAACTCTGATGCTCTTATCCCTATATCTTTGCAACGCAATGTAGTAGACAGAACGTTGATATTTTCAACTATAAATTATGTTAGATCAAAAAGTCTAAGGTTTACACCATCAAGTTGAAAAAATACAGAGAGTAGAAGCTATGTGTTTGTGGCAAAATCTCATTCCTTTTCAAGGCCAAAACTAAGGAGAATGAGGAAGGGTTGTTTAAGTTCTTTTGTAATGTGTTAGGCCATGGATTAGAAAATCTTAAGCATACATATTTTGATTATACAGTGGTTGTTCTTGTTCAAAACAAGGGGAATCAAGTTTTTGCCACAAACTCTGATTTTCTCTTTCCTAAATCTTTGCAACCCAATGTAGCAGACATCAGATATTTCAAACTATAATTTTTGTTATATCGACTAAACTAAGTTTTAGATATCAAAGGTCTACACCATCAGATTGCAAAGATAAAGGAATTATGTAGGATAGCTTTTAATTATAAACTTTAATGACTGAATACTGAATAGTTCTTAAACTATTAGAGTTCTTTTTGGTGTTGGGAAACATTTTAAAAGTTTTTTCTTCGCAGAATTTGGGAAAAAATACAGTGGTAGGCGATTTTATCAATACAATGAAGACGACTTTTTATTTAAGTTTAAAATTGTTAAAAGGCTTTTTTCAAATTACAAATTTACAAGTAACCAAAGAGAAACCTTTTTAAATGACAGCTTCTCTTGACTTCAATGTTTACTTGTGTCCATATGCTGTTTAACAGATGGATATAAATCAAAATTGAAATCGAAAGTTGTTCTCATTGTATTGATATTATTAAGTGAAATTGACCTGCTTACTCTGCACTATTGCTGTATTTCATGTTCCTTCAACTATTTAAAAGTCATGACTTAGGTCTTAGAGTCGTCTTTCTTTTCCAAAGTTTTATGGTTACCCCTGTACTATGTTTTCTAGGTGTTCACTGTGGAAACTCATATGCTGGGGGAGGTTTTTCCAGGGTCAAGAGCTGAACTAATAGAGTACATGGAGACAGTAGCGGGATATAATCATATCAAGGAAAATATCATTTAATACAAAATTCACATGACATCAGAAACTTGTTTTTTAACTTCAAGAATTTTTTTTAGCTCAAGTAAATAGACCAATTATACACGACGTCACAAGTGTCAAATATAACAAGGAAAACTAAATTTTCTGACATTAGTTGACATGTTTTAAAAGATTTAATAAAAATTGCGTAAACACAAAATAAAGAATACACAAAATTACACTTATTTTACTTTTGGATAAGCACTTTTTTCTAAAGTTATCAATATTATTGAGAATTTTGACAAGCACAAAAACTGAATTGACACTTGTGATGTCAGAATACAGCTGTACTCAGAGTGTACAAATTCTAAGTTGCCATCTATTGTACTAGAATCTATTTGGTTTAGGGCACATTTTATTACTGGGTTACCCACAAAGTATATGACTTAAAAGACGACTTTCATCTCGTTATATAATGGCTTAACTTGGCTTTCTTCCTTTAAAATAGATGATAAATGCAAAGAAAGAAACATATGCAGGGAACCATGCATGAAGAAATAAAGACAGAATTTATTCCGTGCAGTCGTCTCTGAAGTACCAGAGATATATACACTACACAAACTGCTAATCAACTTTCACATGCTGGGCTAGCTAGGCCTATTGCCGTACCGACACGGCATAATGCATTCCTACGAATGGTTTTGACTGCCATCTAACCGCCACTTGTTACTTATAATATCCATTCACGGGTTGAGTTTTACTAATTTTTAAAAGAAATACTCTTACTTTCAACATAAAACAAAACTCTATGACTTTAGTTATCTCTTTCTTGAGCGTGAGCCGTCCCATCCGTACTTTTTGAAAACATATGACGTCTCCGACTGTGGCTGTCCGAAGTATGGTGAAACACGACCCTTCTCGACGAAAACAAACAGAAAGCATCTCAAAATTAGATTATGTGCCGACACTTATACTTTGGGTGACATCTAGCGGCCAAACACTAGAGTACGGATACATACAAAGTACGCCTTAAATACGCCCGTTTATTTGGGACAACTCGGGCTCTGTACCTAATCAGACTAAGAAGACGACAATAATAATGCGCCCGTTTATTTGGGACAACTCGGGCTCTGTACCTAATCAGACTAAGAAGACGACAATAATTACTAATTTATATTTTATTGTTAGACTGTAACATCTGATATTTGATGAAGGACGGACACGCAGGAACTAATTCTGTGAGAGAACGATTGGGTACAACAGACGATTTGTTTGTTAAAAAAGGAGTTCAGATGAACAATCAAAAAACTGAACTTTAGGAACTAGAATCTGTGTTACATCATATTTAAATATTTAATTTAACTGATCTGGAATAAGAATTATAAAATTGACTTTTCAATAGAATATATATAAGACGCTAAGACGCATATATTATATTATATTATAAGACAAATAAAGCTAATATTTGGCATGGAAGGGAAACGGTTGTGGCTTCATGGCCGCCTGCCTTTCCCCGTCCATGGGAAATTTCATCTATATATAAATTTGGCTTGTCTGTTTGTCTGTCTGTCTGTTTGTTTGTTTGTTTGTTTGTATCCAATAAACGTCAAAACGGCTGAACCGATCGGGCCCAAATTTTTTGTGGGACATCTAGGGACTCCAGGGAAGGTTTATGAATCATCAAAATTTCAAATATTTGTCTCCATCAAAATTCGATCGTCATAAAATTTTTAAAAATTTTGAAAATCCGCGAAATTTTTTGTGAAAATCCGCGAATTATTTTTGTTTTGTTTTACGATGTACACAAAGAGAACATGTTCACAATTAATTTAGGAGATGGGCGCGAAGCGCCCTCTAAGGCTAGAAAGAAGGGCGCGAAGCGCCTTGAATTTCTAGTTATATTATATCTAACATGAAATTGAGACGCTAAATACCAATATTGACTTCGTGCATAATATTAAATAATTTAGAACATAAAATTTAAACTTTTTAATAATCCATAATTTTAAATTTTTTTAAAATTCTTAGCAACAAAACATAATGTTTGTAGTTTACAAATTAGCGTCAATCACTAGACATTTTTTAACCTTAACATCATAAAATGAAAACCCTAAAATAAGAGTAAATTTTCCTTTTATACTTTTAAACCAATGAAAAGGTTATTTTAATAATCTGTATTTAACCAATTTTATGTTTAATTTACAGAACAATAAAATATTAATATTGGAACGTTTAGAATGGTTATTTATAAATTATAATGTTTTTAATAACAACACGGAATATAATTTTAAATGCTTTAAATGCAATTTGCTTTCATTCAATTTAGTGTCAGTTTTGGACCTAAAAGAAGGTTTAGAGCTTTCCTTCCTGTAATAAAATCATATATTAAAAAAAAGGCCAAACTTCTAACATACATCACACTTTAAATTAACAAATATTTTGCGATAAAAAATTCATAATTTCAAATAATAATTTGACCAGAATGAACTCACTGGCAACTGTTAAAAAATTGAGTTAAGATAATTAATTGCAGTGGTAGGCGATAATATTTATACAATGAAGACGACTATTCTATAATTTTATTCAAAAAGAAGCTTTTCTAATTGACAGCTTCTCTCGACTTCTATGGGTAGATCCATCCTGCTTAACAGCTGAATATAAATTAAAATGAAATCGAAAGTAGTCTTCATTGTAATGATATAGTTGCCAACCACTAGTATGTTAATTAATAAATTAAAGAGACCGTAGACACAATTTCAAGTTGTTCTCTTTTTAAAAGAGCCATGTCCAATTCACAACGGCCTTAAAAGATATAAAATGCATGAATCATCTTCTCGATAAAAGTTATTTTAAAATATAATTTCTACACGAAGTGACTTCGAACTTCTGCTTCAAAACACGACAAAAGGTTTAAAAATTAAAGAGAACCTTTATGAATCTGACATGCCCTTTTTTTAAGTTCACATGAAATTCCAACGACAGTGCCTTTAAGAAATATATTTATCACAGCTTTTAATCATATAGTATACATATATTTAAACATATTCGGCCACAGTTAGATTTCAAAAGTAACAATACCAATGAATAGCTAATAAGGCATTTATTGTTACCCTAAAAATACTCAAATAAGTGAAGGGTCCCTTTAATATTCATAAATATGAATTCACTGCCAAAAGAAAGTATTTAACAAAAATAAGTAATAAGGTAAAATAATATTGAGAGGTATAAATTTTGTGACACAAATGGCGTAGTTTGGATACAATTATAATTAAATATTGTACATATTGTAAAAGAAAGATTGTGCGCAACATATTATAAAGATGATTGGCATCTTGTATTGAAAGATGAACGGTTATAATTCAAAGAGATCTAATCAAATTGGCAAACTATTCCATACAACTCACAATCTCCTTTTGAATCTGCAATTTTCCCTTTAATATAGGAAATTTCTTCAATATGGCGGATTTTTTCTCACTAAATTGGAAAGTCAGAAAGTCTGGATTTTGATATTTGAGTTGGATTGATAACAAAGAGAGCATCATTTATAAAGAAACAACTTTATTTTGTTAGATTTAATCTTTTTGGTTCATCCGGTATTCGTCCCATATAGTATTCTTGGAGAAGGAACCACCTGGAATAAAGTTAAATCATTGATCGGAAAGACCTACGGAATTCTTGTGTTGTGAGTATCGAGATCTTTGCTTATCTCGATCTTTTGCTAAAGTGACAGTATGCGTAATTTCCAAAAGAATAGCAATGCCCAATTTACAATGGTACCTTTGACAACTTTGTAAGATCAATTTGAATTAGAAATTAATAGTTTTGTCTCTTTATTTTCATTTGAGGTTTCTCTGCGAAAGTGACTTGCACATTTCAAGTTTAAAAGAAGAAACATGTAGTCTATTTAGAGTATCTAGGTAAAAAACTAACCTAGGCTTGTCTCCTAATATTAGACAAATATCTGACTGTAAATATGTAGTCTATATAGTGTCTAGTGTCTAGTATCTCGGTATAAAACTAACCTAGGTTTGTCTCCTAATATTAGACAAATATCTGACTGTAAACATGTAGTCTATATAGTGTCTAGTGTACAGTGTCTCGGTATAAAACTAACCTAGGTTTGTCTCCTAATATTAGACAAATATCTGACTGTAAATATGTAGTCTATATAGTGTCTAGTGTACAGTGTCTCGGTAAAAAACTAACCTAGGTTTGTCTCCTAATATTAGACAAATATCTGACTGTAAACATGTAGTCTATATAGTGTACAGTGTCTAGTATCTCGGTAAAAAACTAACCTAGGTGTGTCTCCTAATATTAGACAAATATCTGACTGTAAACATGTAGTCTATATAGTGTCTAGTGTCTATTATCTAGGTAACCTAGGTTTGTCTCCTAATATTAGACAAATATCTGACTGTAAATATGTAGTCTATATAGTGTCTAGTGTCTAGTATCTAGGTAAAAAACTAACCTAGGCTTGTCTCCTAATATTAGACAAATATCTGACTGTAAATATGTAGTCTATATAGTGTCTAGTGTCTATTATCTAGGTAAAAAACTAACCTAGGTGTGTCTCCTAATATTAGACAAATATCTGACTGTAAACATGTAGTCTATATAGTGTACAGTGTCTAGTATCTCGGTAAAAAACTAACCTAGGTGTGTCTCCTAATATTAGACAAATATCTGACTGTAAACATGTAGTCTATATAGTGTCTAGTGTCTATTATCTAGGTAAAAAACTAACCTAGGTTTGTCTCCTAATATTAGACAAATATCTGACTGTAAACATGTAGTCTATATAGTGTCTAGTGTCTATTATCTCGGTATAAAACTAACCTAGGTTTGTCTCCTAATATTAGACAAATATCTGACTGTAAACATGTAGTCTATATAGTGTCTAGTGTACAGTGTCTCGGTATAAAACTAACCTAGGTGTGTCTCCTAATATTAGACAAATATCTGACTGTAAACATGTAGTCGCCATAACACTCTGATCCTTTCCACCGAACCGTGAGCTTAAGAAATACCTAAACAGTAAAGTAACTGATAAACTCAAGAATTAATTAAAATTTAACTATGTTTAACACGGATATTTTTTACACGTTTCCATACTACAGGATTACCCTCATATAGGGTTGTTAACGATCAAAAAAACGATAGTTTTTCGTTTCGCTTATATGTTTTCTAAATACTATTGTTTCGTTTAAAAAAAACGTTCGTTTTTGAAAACCAACCACTCGTTTTGAACTTCGAAAATGAATCTGAGTTTTATGACAACTAATTTCAAGTTTTATTCATGAAGATGAGGTTATAAATTTTGTCTTAAATGTTTTTTTATCCAGACAAATAACCTGAATATTTTCCGACCTCGGATTTTCCGACCAAAAAATGTATTTTCTCTTTAAAAGGTCGTTAACGATCGCTAAAGAAGGGTTGTCGTTAACGACCGTGAACGAAGGGTAGTTTTTTAAACTAAATTTTCAAAAAACGATGGTTTTCACAAACGATCGGTTCGTTTTCCGTTTTTTCTTCTTCGTTTTTAAAACGAAACGATAGTTTTTCAAAGAAGTGGAAACGATTCATCCCTATCCAAAGGATGAGATTGAAAAGAAAACCTAAAACTCTTAAAACGCAAAGCAATCATTTCTGATAATATCTTTATTGTTTCTAAAACCAAAAATGCACATGAAGTTTCGCAAAGAACCCACAAATGAGAAACAAATACTTACATATCTAATTCATTCATTCATTCTTGATCCGACAACGCTTTTAACGGTTCCGTTGTAAATCAAACATTTGACTCTATCAATTGCAAGTTACTTAAAATCACGCTTTCAGAGTGCATTTAATTAAAAATCAAATTTTTTACCTTTTCAGTGTTGTGTAATACATTTTACTCCATTTTTGCACGTTCTCTAAACTGCCACCAAACATGCCCCCTCCAATACGGTCAACCTTAAACAGGAGCGAATATCTTTCTATATTCTTTATATTATGTAAATTTCTCGAGACAGGGACAGTAGATAAAACTAATATTGGTCGCGATCAATTCCTAAAAATTTTAGGCTTCAACAATCAGCATATACCCCCTTTACCATATACCTTTACAGTCCAGTTGTAAGTAAATGTTCAGATAATACCATTGTTTACCTTGGAGAAATCTGCAAGTGAAGTTCCATTCTCTATAACAAGTTCTTCAGGTGAAAAAGCTCCAACTCCGAGCAAAAGAATTCCTATGAAAAAATGACTGCGCACAGAGGAATTTGCAGTTGAATACTTAAGCAGGTCTAGACAAGTTTACACTGTACTCGATGAACAAAGAAAGGTTTGACAGGTACCGTTGTGAATCGGACATTTGTATGGATGGTTACTTGAAATTACGCTTAAAGTACTTTTAAGTCATCAAAAAACTTTACATCACACAAACGACTAAACTTAACCTTGGGATCGTCATATTTCAAGAGTTTTCAGTCGTCTTTGCAGTGTCGTCTATTGAGTTCCATGGGAAAATGTTATCATTGGTAAAATTTGAAAAGACGACAGGGGGGGGGCTTATGGCATATAATACCTACATACATTTCATTAATAAATCCAGCTCGTGAAAAATATTTAGTAAAACTTTAACCTGCTTCCTTGGGTAATCGTTTCATCATCAGCTCGCCATTCCAACTGTTAACAATATAGATAAAGAGATTAAATCTGTAAGCCCCGACCGCCCTAGTGGTTAGGTACACTTGAGCAATAAAACAGTTGAATACATTGTATAGAAATTATATCGTCTTCATCATAAAAGGTAAAAGGCATGAAAGAATTCTTCTTAATCCAAGTGGTTTTTTTTCACACATGCCATTGTCTACTCTGTTTTATACTAAGCTAGGGATATTTGTTAAAAAGGCATTTTGTACAAAAAAAATGGATTTCTGAAGTCTGAAGCCGCCGTAACCATCTAGGCCCAACATATAGTCTTACCCTCATTTTAGACCTCTAAGATGAATTTCTAGAGTAAAAAACATACTATGTAGACCTCCATATGTGGAGTAAAGACATAAATATTTTGAGATTTTTAAGTTTTTTTCAAGAAGCTGTACTGTGTTAAGCCTTCCATAGAATAGTAATAGTAATGTACCACGTAGATGTGTTAGCTTAAAATAAAACATATTTAAATTTTGATCAGAATAGTCAAAAAGTATTTTTGACATCAAAAATGGATTCCTGGAGTCAGATAACTTTATTCTAGACGTACATATCACATACATGAACATTAAACAGAGCGAAAAAATCTAATTTTATGATTTTGAGGTTTTCGATTTTTTTGAGACCCTCCAACACACCGAAGAAGTCCGATAACAAAAATTTATGTAAATATATTTTACAAAAAAGAAAAAAAATATCTCAAAATGGCTACTATAAATTTTTGTTTATGTTCTACCTGGAATGTCTGAGTGCTCCAATATCTAGCCAGGCGAAGTAAACTGACCGGAACGGGTTGAGCTCCGATACAGTCTGTAGAAATCTACTTTTCTCATTCCAGATCCAGTACAGACGTCTTCAATAAAGAACAGTAAAAGTGGGCCAGGAAAAAATATTATTTGGGTATAATACATTTCTTTTCAATAAAAATAAAAAGATGAAAGTATCGAAGAATTATTCTAATAATTATAAAATACTCTACAAGCTAAATAATAAGAATTCCGGGGCCTCATTTGCTGTACAAGCCAGGATATGTATTATGTACGCCCATGGTTCAACTTTACAGGATGCAGGATTGACCCGTACCGGTGTCTGACAAGTCGGAACGTGTCGTTTGTAAGTGCTCAATGCCGTAACCTTTGTGTAAAGGATGCACAGTGGGCGTACAATAGGGCGCTTTCTCAACCTTTTTTTTTGCAAAATATAAACTAAGTTTGTGCAACGCTTTTAGATACTATAATAAGGCTAAAAATAGAATAGGAATAAAAAGAAATTTTTTGATTTTGTAGAAATATATTTTAAAGGTTTTGATACAATTAATGCTATACCCCAATTGTTTTCAATTTCAAAATCTTTCAGATTATATAAAAATATATATCAAACCAAAAATGTTCAGAAATAGAAATTCAAATCACTAAATAGAGAAAAATATGTCAACACGATCGCTTATGAATAATAAAAACTATTATTATCGTGAATTATTTTAGTAAAACCACTGTAATTCATTAATTTTAAGAAGAAACACAACGTGATATTTGGTCTAAGTCACTATAAATAAACCCTTATGAACGAGGGTGTGCAACTTGTAGATTTTAAAAAAATAATTACTTTTCATAATCAATAAGAATTATATTTGCGTGTTTTTTTGTTAAAAAGTTTCGCGGGCATTAATACCCCAAAAAAATGTTAAACCTTTCTTTTTAAGCATTAATATCCCCCTAAAAACATTTTAAACTTTGAGCTAAAATGCCTTTACATATTCCTTCTACGGGTTCCACCTGGAGTGTCCAATCTGTTGTTCTGGATCCAACGCTTCCTGAGCTGACCAGCTCGCTGAATCAATCATCTGAAATTTCAAAATATCAACCATTAAAAAATGAGTGGCATGTCCGACCCACAACGTTTACTTTTAAATAACTACAGGGTTACCCACAAAGCATAAGACTGTATGGACGACCCAGAACTCTAAAAATATGACGATAAAAAGCTTAACTTTTGGTTTCTACATTTAATTAAGTAGTTTGATGGTTTACTAAATGATTAAGGTTTTGCTGTCTAAAACAGAGTTAATATCCTTCATTTTCTCTAAATTATAAAGACATAAATGCAAAATTGTCACTTTTATAAAGAAACCACATTTAAAAATAGCCAATGTTTAGCAGAGAAAAATAAGGATATCTTATTCATTCTTTATCAGTAAATTGCAATAAAAGGGTACCAATGTGAATTTCACATGACGTTGTAAAAATGGATGAAATATCGAAATATCTCAAAAAAATTTAATTTTCAAATAATTTGTTCAAAATTTCGAACAATTGTCCGTAATTACTCATCCTTTTGAGTTTTGGTAGTTCGATACGGATATTACTTACAAAATGATTCAGGGGTGTATGTATACTGTATATTAGTTCTGAGACTCATATATCCCCCCCCTTTGCGAGGAATAAATAAAAAAGTGGAGAAAAAAATAAAAAATTTGTAATCAAAAAACAAATCTTTTGAATTTCCCCCAAAAATCATTCATTTCCCCCAATTCAGCAACTTCTGAAAGAAAAAATAATGATTTTTAAAGAAAATATACACCCCTGCATCAGGAGTTTTTCTACTGCAGTTTATTACCTGAGCCACGGATAGGGTTTCCAGAGGTTGTATGATGATGTGTAAAGGATATTTGGGAGTACGTAAACTTCTAAAATAAAACGTTATTTTAAAGGGACTGTCACGTGATCTTCCCTTTAATACGGAGCGTGCACGATTCACAGGAGTACTGTTTAAATGCACAGTAAGCCTCCATACAAAGCTGGCAAAGTCCGATTCACAACCGTACCCCTAAAATCTTATCAAAAATCAAATCATGTGGAGGACAGTGTAGTTTTTCTGACTTTCTTGTTTATTTCTGTGAATTTCTCCTTTGCTTCTTATAAACAAGAAATGCGCAAGTCACTTTCGCAGAAAAACCGCAAATGAAAACAAACAGTTTAAAGAAAGAAGAACATTGATATCTAATTCATACTTGATCAGACAAAGCTTCCAAGGGTACTGTTGTAATTCGGTCATTGCTATCTTTGCATGGAAGGTCATTTAATTAAGCTTATACAGTCCCTTTAAGCCTTTATCTGAAGAATAATGTGAAGAATAGAGTCGTTTTTCTAGCAAGTGTATGATTTTTTCTCAAGTATAAATTCCTGAGAAACACAATTCAAACAAATTAATATAAAGAGAAGATAAAGTGCCCTTGTAATCGGTCATTCCTTTTATAAAGGGGCGTATAAAGAAATTTGTCGGCTCAGTAACATTTTGCCTAGTACAAGTTCGCCTAGTACACTTTCGCCTAGTACATGTTCGCCTAGATAACATTTTGCCTAGATAACATTAGAAGGTAATTTTCGCCTAGATAAATTCACTAAAATTTATAAAGTTCCTCTTTTTTCTCAAGAAATTCAATTAAAAGAAAAAAATTTATTATAATAATGTTTACAAATTTTTTCTTAAAGGGCACTAGCTAGCTGGAAATGTTGATAATCAATTATGGCTGGTCTGCCTTGTTTGGTTTTCCCTGCCTGAATTAAGGACGTCAGGTCGACATCAATGTCAGTAGAAAACTGAATGATTTAAACTACAAAAAAAAATTGTGAAATTTTTACAGTAAAAATTGCGTATTTTTTTGTTCCAAAAGCTGGTTAATTTGAAGAATGTTAATCTAGGCGAAAATTACTCTCTAATGTTATCTAGGCAAAATGTTATCTTGGCAAAATGTAATCTAGGCGAAATGTTGTCTAGGCAAAATGTTATCTAAGCAAAATGTTATTTAGTCGAACTTGGACTAGGCGAAAGTGTACTAGGCGAACTTGTACTAGGCAAAATGTTACTGAGCCACATTTGTCCAAGGGGGGCTTAATATTTCCTCTTTCCATGGGGATCAGCATTCGTCTTGTGGGCACCTGGAAACCATATATTTCACATATCAAGAGGGGGCTCAGCCCCAATAGTCACCTCCCCCCCCTGTATACGCCTCTGTTTTTACCTGATCATTTGTGCACTATCTCTTGAAGTAAAAACAACCATACAATCCTAAACATTATCTAGTTTATACATATCAAATTGCCTGAAAGGGCCTAAACAGAGTGGTGCACATTATAAATAAATGTATGGCTGACCCAACATTTCAGGGGTGTATATTTTTCTGAAAGATCAACCCCCGCTCCCACTCCAATCTTTGAAAATATTTTTTTTTATTTCCCGAAAGTTAAATAAACATTTAGGTTCTTTTCGGGCTGATTTGTGGAAACTGCAGGATTTCTGTGGTAAAGTGTGGAAAAAAGATGAAAATTTTTTCCTTTTCAT